CTAGTTCTGAATGTAGTGATTGTAGCCACAATCACAGTGAGGCATTTTGTAAATCAACGGGCATACTACAAATACCAGAAGCTGCAGAACTATTAACCAACAGGTCCAACCCTAAGTGAGACACGTTCCTCCAGGATGCCAAAGAAAATGCTACCTCGTGGCTACATATATTATGAATAAATTAGGAAGGGCCTGAAAGTGACACACAGGCCTACATGTCACTGTGTCAGCGTGTTTCATTACAGGATGATGGAAATAAATACCACGCCAGTTGGCTCTCATTTTAGGAACTAAAGATACAAAAATATTACATGAGGCTGGGCATGTGGCTCACGCCTATAATCTCAGCACTTTGGGAGGCCAAGGTGGGTGGATCACCTGAGGTCCGGAGTTCGAGACCAGCCTGATGAACATGGTGAAACCCCGTCTCTACTAAAAATACAAAAATTAGCCCTGGGTGCAGTGGCACATGCCTGTCATCCCAGCCACTCGGAAGGCTGAGGCAGGAGAGTCACTTGAACCTGGGAGGCGGAGGTTGCAGTGAGCCAAGATCACACCATTGCACTCTAGCCTGGGCAACAAGAGCGAAACTCTGTCTCAAAAAAAAAAAAAAAAAAAAAAAAATTTACACGAATTAACACCTCCTTTTATCAATACAAAGCATTTTAACCAAATATTAGGTGAAAAGGCTTATTTTTACTTAAGAAAAGTAGCCTTCAAAGATAGATGTATTTATTTTTAGATGCAAATATGCTACTCTTTGAAACATCAAAAGTTACGATTTCTGAAACTAAAGCGTGAGGAGAACCGCAGTCTCCTTGATCCACATGCCTTCCTGCTTTCACGCAGAGCCTCACCATTTCTCACTGTAAGCATTTCAGGAAAGGGCTCTGGATAGACAAATGTGAGCATAAAATGAGAAACTTCATACCGTTTCTGGGTTAATGAGATGAAAACATTTTTCTTCCCCTTCATCATCAAGCGCCAAAGCCAAAGGTTCATTGTCCTCAACTAGTAGCCAGTTTGGGTTTACACTTTCCCATTTACTGTGGCTGAACAAATACAATTAAAGACCCCAGTGTGCACTGATTTTACACATGAAAACATAGAATCTAATCACCCTAGATGATCAACACAACTCTCTCTCATCATCTAACAACACACATAGTTTCAGGTTCTAATATGCATCCAAACAGGTAACCACATTCCCAAATGCCCAAAGGCATTCTCCTTCCTTCTAAACATGCATTGCATCTACAGGTTGCTGAAGAGAATACATGGTGGATGTGACAGAATCTTTGCCCTCACAGAACATGCCTTTGGGACACTGATTGATTTTCTAGCTCCAAATCACAACAGATCTTCCCCATTTTCTTTTCAATATCTCCATGTCAATCTCCTAAATATTAATATCTCAGGCAGCCACACAGTGACTCTTTTTTATGTTCATCCGGGTAGCCTAAGTTGAATGACTGCAAAGTTATTTTTTAACCTAACGTGAAAACCCCTAAACATTTAATTAGAATGGGCAAATCAGGTTAAATGCTTGTAAAACAGTCTGGTCTGGTCACAGCCCTTCAGTCATCTCTCTATCAGGAAATGACTGGACATTCTCTGCTGGCCAACATGGTAGGGATTCAGATGCATAGCGCGCACAAAAGTGTAATGCTGAGAAAATGATCAAATATTGCGACTCACTAGATGGTGTAAAATCATATTACCAAGAATCATAAGATCATTTGTAGTGGAGCTATTGAGGTATATCTCCAATATCAGTGCATATGCATTATCAATATGTGTGCTACTATTTAAGTTTTCTTTCTTTAGAAAGGACTCCAGAGAAGTGAAGTGATAAATGTTCCTAGGTCTGGGGTGGGTGGCCTGGGTTCTAGTTCTTCCCACTTACCTGGTGGGTTACATGAGCTAGGTCACCTTTTAATCCTCACCTGTGGTGAGGATTAAAAAAGAGAATGTGTTTGCAGTTAGGAGCCATTCATGTTCCACTTACCACCAGCGAGAAGTTCTTACTGCCAGCTCCAAAATCCTGTTCCAGAATCTGCTTCTAATATGCCTGGGCCACACCTGGTATAGGTTGGGTTCCGGGGAAACAGACTCTGACACAGAGGCTGGTATACAGGAGACTTCCTTAGGGGTGTGCTCGGGATCAGCGCCTGTGTCCCAGAAGGGAAGCAGAAGCAGGCAGGGGAGTTGGTGCACAAAGAAGCAGCTGTAGCAGCGGGGGCCCAGCCACTCCCCCAGGGTGTCCTGGGGCCGCTCTGTCCTTCCGAGACGCCCCACTGAGGCATGGTGCTCAGCCCTTTCTATCCTTCTGTGGATCAGTCATTGACTGAGGGCTGCCTGAGAGTGGAGGGGCTGTGAACTTGGATTAGACAACAGCCTTGATATAAGGGAAATTCCTGGCGAGCGGTGGCACCAAGAGCCGCCAGCCGCCAACACTCCCAGCAGCCTGGAGAATGAGTGACTTTCTCTGATGGGACATCTGGGTGTCACCCTAGAGCAGCCATTCTACTCACCTCCTAAAAGGGATGGATTTTCAGAATATTTTACAAAGTAACTCTATATTGTATTCAAAAGACTCGCTTAACATAGTGTTTCGGAGAAGCTAAAAACGAAGAGATGGGCAATGGAATACCAGGCACAGGCAAACTAGAGGGGCGGGGCGGGGTGGAATCCAGGCTGCCTCTGCTTTCCCGAGGCAGGTGGGGTCACCTCATTACTGCTGGGCTGGGGTGAAAGTCCTGGCTCTCCATTGGGCCTCTTCTAACCAGGATAGAATAAAAGGGTGTCTTATCCCTTCCAAGTACGGGTAAAAATGGAAGTCTAGGCTCACCACCTGGTCTGCACCTGACATGAGGGCTGCAGGTGAGGGTCTCATTACCACCTAGAGGTGATGAGCATCCCAGTCCCCGCTTTGCCTTCTCTGACATCACTCTGGATGAGGGAGGGGAAGAGAAGGAGTGCTGGGGGAAGGCAGAAGTCTAGGCTTTCCACTCAACGTTTGCTGGCTGGGATGAAGGTGGGACCACAGTGTTTCCCAGGGCAGTTAGCTAGAGTAGGACAGTTTTCATCCAAGTGTTTTCTGTCTTGCTAGGTTGCTCCTTTGCTGGTCCTTTGGCTAGAGAGAGCAGGCTTTTCTTGGTTCTTTTTGGTCTGTACCCTTGGTGTTTCCTGATTGCAGGCTTTTTCCTGTGAAGTGCATTTTGATCCATGGCTTTCCAACTTCAGCCTTTCTGAGAATCACCTGGAATGCTTTTGGAGGTTACTTCCTGGATCCCATCCTTTGAACCACACACCAAGAGGAACTGATCTGGAAGTTCGTTTGGACCCCTGTTTATTAAAATGTTAGTTCTTTCATTGTCAACACTTTTCATATTAGGGATTTGTTAAAAGTCATAAAACGCTAGGTTTTGGTAGATGTTAGCTTCTACTTCCTCAACATGCTATGGGCTATGAATAAATACAGTTAGTGGGGAGATGACTTTGAAAGTAGAAACTCTAGCAGCCTACAATTACTTGGAAAAGCTCCTTTATTCATTTGAAGCGCTTGCATGAAATACACATCAAATACTAAAATCATTGTTTCATTTGACTAAAGTTGGAGCTACTCAGGGACAAATAATTAACTCTGATTTAAAGATGTCATTTTCACCGAATTGTCCAATAATCACATTTCATCAATTTCTGTGTATAAGCAGGGAACTTCATTAAAATAAATACCAGTATATTTTACCAAGACAGTTGTTGATGAAGGGAAATTTTGTAAAGAAACAGATGTTCGGCTCACAGGCTACACCCTTCCTTGGGTCATTTGTCAGATTTTTAACCTTGAGGACCTCAGGGTTAGCTCCCAGGCTCTATCAAAAACTGCCCTCCTCCATCGGGGACTTGACAATACTGTCATCCCATCCTGTGCATGCCATTTATTGACTAAGAGGGGAACTAGTCCTTGGAGATGGGGACCCATCTTTTAAATATTGCTACTGAATATTTCTTGACAAGTAAAAATAAAAATCTGACTATGTTCAAGTCAGTTTCTTTAAAGACACCTTCAAGGATAGTGAGTCTAGCACAGGTCTCTTTCTATTAAGGTAGAAAGTTAGATGAGAGATGAGAGTGGATGCTGCTCTCCTTCTCTGGGAGGATGCTGGAATAAGCTAATCTTGCCTTGTTTGCTTTTCAGGTTTTATGTGTACTTTTCAAGTTTCCCAAATGCTTGCAGGATTTGGGAAACAGACTGAGAACATGGCCACATGAACTCCTGGTAGTGAAGGAGGAGGCGGGATTCAACTCTAGAGGTGGAGCTCAGGCACTGGACCAAATTGGAGACTAACTAAAACAGGGCTGGGGTGGAAGCAGCTTTCAATCAGACATGCCCACCAGGGTGCCATGTCAATTTACTGTTGCCACGGCAGCACCTGGGAGTTACCGCCCCTTTCCATGTCAATGACCCACTGACTCAACAGTTACTACCCCTTGTCTAGAAATTTATGCACAAACCAACACTTAATCTGCATGCAATTAAAAGTGAGTATTAATATTAATATGACTGCAAAACTGCCCTGAGCTGCTACTCTTCGCTTACAGGGTAGCCCTGCTCTGCAGGAGCAGTCATGGAGCTGTCACACTGCTGGACCTGTAACATTGCCTCTTTGATAAAGCTGTTTTCTTCTACCTCTAGCTTGCTCTTGAGTTCTTCCATGGGCAAAACCAAGAACGCTCGCAGGCTAAGCTCCACTTTGGGGCTCACCTGCCCTGCATCAGCAGCTCAGACAGCAGATACGTGGTTCCTGTGATTGCATTTCAGTCTTTCATTTGCAAGCTATAACCCAAACCCAACAAAGCCTAGGTCCAATTTATTCCCATTGAAACAAAATGGTAAAAGCTTGTTGTGATGAGTAAACGACATGCTTGATTCGAGCAGCCAGTTAGAATTTTAAAAAATGAGTAGAGTTTAAAAAAATGAGTGAAGTTTAAAAAAATGAGTGACAGTTTATTTTTCATAAGACTCTTGGCAAGAGCTGAAAATAAATCCTCGTACCATCAGAGGATAAAAACAGAGATCCACTTAATAGCATCTGATAATTAAACAGTCAACTTAAAAAGACAATCTTTAAATGAACAATGCAGTATAGAGAGAAAACCCTGCTCTTTGTAACATTTTGTACACTTTAAGACAAGAATTAGAAAATGTAGCATTTGTGGTGGCACAGAGAGTAATTGCCTTAGAAGTTTAGTAATCAGAGAAGATTTATTTAGTAACAAACCTCAGAGAAACAGTCCCCTCTGGCTGTTTCTTTGACCTGTCTGTATGCGGATAGCTTCTGATTGGTCAAACATGCTGAAGAGAAATAGACGTTGCTTTCTACAGATTCACATGGAAATTGCAGAAATCACTCAAGAGTCTTCCTCTGAGCAGTGACTTTGTGGATCTCCAGTGGCCCCACCATTTGGAAATGCTCAGTCTGCTCTTCCTTGGTCTCCATGGGGCCTGCACCTCTCCTACTCTGTCCTGCACAGCCCCGGGAGCAGAGAGAGGCATAGTCCCCCACTTTGCACACTGCAACCTTACACTGCAGATATACCACATCATAGCTGTCAAGAAAGCTGAAGGCATTGAACTTGAACCGAGCCATGTTCTTCTGGCGGGGATGGAGGTTGACGTAGGTATTGTCTTTGATGCACCTGATGGGGAGAAAAACCCCAGGACAAAAAGATTAACTTAAAGCATGATATGAGTTCACTGCAACCCAGATAATCAGGCATGGACCCAGATCTCTGAATTGCAAATAGAGTTCTTCCCACTACCCACTCTTTCTTTCATAAAGAAATTTTTAACACTACTATGAGTGGAAAAACCACTATTCCTGGACATAAATAGAAAGGAACTAGAAAATAAACACAATAAAACCAAAAAAAGTAATTAAATTCTAGGTAGAACTCTTGCCTTCAAAAGGCCTATTGTATTTTGCCCAAAGAGAGATGAAAAGTGTTGGTGGTTTTATTTGAAGACAAACTTAGATTTTTTTAAAAAGTACATTAGTAAACCCTAGGGAAACCACCAAAAAAAAAAAAGAAAGAAAGAAAAGAAGTGATGCATTAAGAGGAGATAAAATGAGTCATATAAAATGCTCAGTTAAAACTGGAGAAGGCAGCAAAAGGAGTGTGAGGAGAGAAACAAGGAACAAATGCAACTAATAGAAAATAGTTACCAAGATGGTAGATTTTAATTCAATGACATCAAGAATCACTTTAAACATAAATGGTCTAAATATACCAATTTAGAGGCAGAGTAGATTAAAAAACAAGTCCCAACTATTTATTATCTATAAGAAACCCACTTTAAATATAAAGACTCCGATAAGTTAAAAGTAAAGGGATGAAGAAAGATATACTATGCAAATACTAATCAAAAGAAAGGTGGAGTAGCTATATTAATTTCAGAAAAAAATAAACTTCAGAACCAGGGTAACTATCAGGAAGCAAGAGGGGTATTACATGAAAAGAAAGTGATCAGTTCTCCAAGAAGACACAATAATTTTTTTTTTTGAGACAGAGTCTCACTTTATCGCCCAGGCTGGAGTGCAGTGGTGTGATATCGGCTCACTGCAAGCTCCGCCTCCCAGGTTCATGCCATTCTCCTGCCTCAGCCTCCCAAGTAACTGGGACTACAAGTGCCCGCCACCACACCCGGCTAATTTTTTTGTATTTTTAGTAGAGACGGAGTTTCACTATGTTAGCCAAGATGGTCTCGATCTCCTGACTTCATGATCCACCCACCTCGGCCTCCCAAAGTGTTGGGATTACAGGCGTGAGCCACCGCGCCTGGCCACAATAATTTTTCTTGTGTAAGCATGTAACACAGTTTTAGATAGAACTGCAAAGAAAATCAACAAATCCACTATCATAGCTGGATACTTCAAACCCCTCCAACAGTAGTTGATAGATCCAGCAGGAAGAAAATCAGTGAGGATACAGATGATCTAAACAGTACTCTCCATCCACTAGATCAAATTGGCATTTATAGAGCCCCCCATCCAGCAACAGCAGAACACAAATTCTTCTCAAGCCCACATGGAATATTCATCAGGACAGACCATATTCTGGGCCATAAAAGACACCTTAACAAATTTAAAAGAACAGAAATCACACAAAATACATTATCAGATCACCGTGGAATTAAACTAAAAATTAATGAGAGAACAATTCCTGGAAAATTCCCAAATGTTTGGAAATTAAACAACACACTTCTAAGTAACCCATGGGTCAAATAAATCTCAAAAGAGAAATCAAAAAATATTTTGAACTAAGTGATAATGAATATACAAGTTACCAAAAATTTGTGGAATGCAGCTAAAGCAGTGCTTAGAGGGAAATTTATAAAATACATATATTAGAAAAGAAGAAATAGCTAAAATCTATAGTCTAAGCTTTGAAAACTTAGAAGAAGAAGCAGAACAAATTAAGCCTGAAGAAAGCAGAAGGAAAAAGCATCAGTTATTAAATTCTGGCACCAAACTGAGCCTCTTGCCTGACATCTTTATAAGGGGGGTTGAAAGGAAAGAACTTTCTCACTCTGTGGCTCAATGCAGTTTAGCACCACCTCCGTGCGCCTCTCACACCATGGTTCACACTCCCTGTGGAAGGTGCTGTGTCCTGTCCCTCCCCTGGCTTTTGGAAAGAGGTACCACAGTGCTTCAGGGTGGACTTTAGGGTACTGTGGTCTTCACCACTCTAAAGCTACCATTGAATAGTAAGTGATAGATTTTTGTTGTTTTCAAACTTGTTGCCAACTGCCCATCTATAAGCACTTTGCCTCGGTTAGGGGACAAGAGAGCTATACAGGCAAACAATTGGCCGAAGTTCTAACTTGGCAAATCTTTTGGTTAACCAAAGGAGCCAGAATAAGTCTCACAAGTATAACTAAGATCTTAGCTTGGGATAACCTATTAGTTCATTAGTGTAGGTCAATGCCTCGAGGGCCTACACCATGAATGGGGAGTCCAGTGAAGTCATACGGCTGGAAGGGACTGGAAGGGAAGGAGGCATGGACATGAAAGGGTGAGGTGAGGCAGCAGAGCCCAGGGTAGCAAGGGCCCTCCCCAGGACTGTGGGGAGTAAAGGGAAGATGTCTGTAACTGCCTGCCTATAACTATTTGTCCCCGGTTGTGATCAGAGGATGGTGAGGGCCCCCACTGTGCCTCTGAGACAGAGTGAGGACTCTGCACAAAGTTCTGATGTAGGAATACCAGTTGAGAAGCCACAGGTTCCCTAAAGGCATGCCAGGTGAATGTAACAGTCCACCCAGAGGGCCTTCCATCTTCCTTACCCCTGCCGGATCAAATCATACTTGATGGTTATAAAATCTTGGGGATCTGGAGAAGCCACACAGGTATCCACGAAGAGCATCAGGTTGGGATTGGGGCTGTGGAGGGTGGCTTGGAGGAAGACCTCTTTCCTCTGGCTGTCGTAGTAGGGCACCATGCCTCCCACAGGCTGGGACTCGGGGGACTGGAGGAAGGATATGGACATGGTGTAGCCAGCACCCTCCGTCTGTGCGTCATCCCCATGAATGATTTCAACTGTGGATGGACCGTCCACCCTACAGGTGAACTTCAGCTTGGGCACCTTGTGCCGCACGATGACTTGGCCAGGGTGGCCCCGTGTCCGGCCTCTGATGGAGTTGGAGTAGCTGAGGGAGCCGAGGTGCTCCTGTGAGGATGAGAGAAGAGCTGTGAGCAGCACTCTTGACTCCCTGACAAACACCTGCCTCCATGAGCTGAGACCTCTCTTTCCCACCTTACTTGGTGCCAGCTTGCTGACCTGCAGGAGGGAGGACCTCCTGGGGCCAGACCTCTGTGGTGCTTACCACCACAAAAGGGTGACATGACATGTGGGGTGCATGCAGGGAGCCCCCAGTGGGCAAGTCTGGACTGTCCCTTCCATCCTACGAGGACCAAGCTGTTGTACTAGCTGTGAGCTGGGGTGGCAGGTCCAGCTGCTCCAAGCTCCCCTTCTCCACAAGCTCCATTCCTGTAGGCTCCTGAAGGCCAACACCCCCTTGCCCCCTGGGCTCTTGTCCTCTCTTTGGTCTCTTCCCTGCCCTCGACTCCAGACCAGTACTGGCTCCAGGTGAGCTGTGAGCCTGGCCCTGCTGAACTTCACTCCCAGCCTTCAAATCCAACATGACTTGCAGGAAGTAAGGTTGTACTGGGGCCAACAGGGAGGGGTCCCTGCCTGTCATGCCCTGTGCAGATGCCTAGAGGTTCAGCCTGCCCAGGAACATTTGCTCAAAGAAGCCTCAGCTTGTGGGACTCAGATCCTGTGATATTCTGCTTGGAACCTCCAAGAACTGCCCTGTCAGCTTAAGCCAATGTTTATCAACTTTATTCTACCATGTCCCCACTAAGGAGACTTTGTAGACGTCTTACTCATCCTGGCCACTCTCAAACCCTGTCTATGAATTGTAATACAAGTACACTGCTTATATACCAGATGTGTATCTGTGCTTGAGCTAGAAAGAAAGACATTATTATTTTTGCCTCTAAGATCCAGTATCTATCTCCCCTGCCACCCATAAAGGTGACATTACCCTCCTTGAGAATCCCTGACTTAGAATAAAAGTCAAACTCCTCACCCACACGCTCCTGCCCTCCTTCCACTCTAATCTTGGGCTTCCTGGTCTCCAGTCTCTTCCTGAAAGCTCCAAGGCTGCGGCCGCCACAGGACCTCAGCCCTGGCTGATCCCCACATCCTCTGCCTGGCTGCCCCACCCCAGCGCAGGCTTGGCTTCCCAGCCACCAGCCTACTCAACACGGCTTCCCTTCCACCCCCAAATGACTCTTCTACCCCTCCCTTGTTTTCCTGTCTTCTTAACCTCTTTTGGTATAAAAAGGACCCTCGTTTGTGTTTGGTCCAATACTGTCCCCGTTTTCGTGAATGTAAGGGTCATGGAGCAGGGGCTCTGTTGGTCTTATGGCTGCCGTGTCCCCAGTACCTAGAAGGTGACCCATCCACTGACTCTGAAAGCAGACATGAACCTCTGTACAGTAGTGTTTTCCTTATCAGTGCTCCCTGATCCTGCTGACTTCTACCCCAGCACCCCAGTCAGCTCATGGGGTTTTCAGGGGAAGCTGAGCCAGCCAGGTCAAAAAGAACATTTGCAGGGTCTTCCCTGATGGCCCAGAAGCTTCCCTGGGGGTGCCCACTTCCCAGACACAGGAGGCATGGATCCTGGGGCAGAAACTTCTGAGGTTAAAAAGTAGAATTCTCAAAGCAAAAAGGATAAGAATGACTGTGATCTGTACAATGGAATAGACAAAATGTGAATGAATTGAACCTCTAACAATGTCAAGGGTTTCCTGGCCTCATGTTTGTGTCTAATCAGGGGATGTAAAAGAATAGAGGAGCAGTATGGGGATCTTGCTTGGGAGCAGGTTACCCTGTTTAAATACTGAGAAAAAAATTTTCTGTGGTTATACACTCTCCCTATATCTCTGGTGTACTTGCTTCCTTAACTTCAATACCATTGTTTTGTGAAATAAAACGGTGATCAAGGAAAATTAAATAAACATATGTATGCCATGATTTAGAAATGTCCTAAAGGTTTGCTTTCTTGATCATGGAATGCAGTTACCTGCTTAGAAACCTAGCAGTCAGATGGGCAAGTGGACAATCTGTCTTCCCACATGCCTGTCACCATAGCTTGCACGTGGTAGGTGTGCACCAATGCTCAATCAAGAGGCATGTGTGGAAAATACATTGCCTCTGGAGTGAAAATAATATACCATCTATCCATCCATTCATCCCTCCACACATCCATCAGCCCATCAGCACTCACTACTTGTTATCATGTATCCCAAATTCCCCAAAGGAAGGAAAGTTTCAAACTAGTGAGCTGCTCTATGTCTCACCAAACTCAGAAATGAAGTTATGGTTTGCACTTTCCCTCTGTCCTTACACAGGTTTTTAATAGGTGGTTGAATTTCCCAAACTTTTCACCACAGAAGGGTAGCACCACCTGGGAAGTGTCCTACCTGCTGGATAGTGCCACAGTGGCCATAGGGAATGTTGAAGATCAGGTAGCGTCCCATGACTTTGGGGCGACATAGCTCATCATTTAAGTGGATGTCCCAGGAGGAGTAGCCCAGCCTCCGGAGATAGCCTCGGTCAATAACGGCTTGGAAGAGGTGAGGCAAGCAGGATAGCTGGGCTGCAGAAGGGGAAGATGGAGAAATCCTCACAAAGAGAAACTGGTTCACTGGTCATGTAGATCCTGGGTGCGGGTATATCTTTACTTCATTAAACTACCATGAACAATGCCCTCAACTGGGGCTGGCTCAGCTCTCCTCACATCCTACCCTTGACTTGACTTTCATTAATTTTACTTATACCCATCCTTTTCCAAGAAGCCTTTGAGGTCACACCACACCCATGGGGAATCCTACCCACAGCCCACGTTCCATGAATGGCTCATTTCTCATGTTGAGAACCCTGTGCCTGAACATGATCTATCTGGGTCTTTGTAAGGAAGTTAGTTGGAGAAAGGGAGCCTGGGTACAAAGGCGCTTTTTCCCAACCTCCTAACACCCAGCGAGTGGGTGGAAATCCAGAGATCTCAGTGGAAACACAGAAGCAGGTCCCTCTCACAGCCTGTCCTTTCTCCCCTACTTGGCTGCTTTCTTAGCTCCCCCATCAGCATCCTTAGCCCCAGACCCTAGAGAGGAGAAGACTTTACCATTGTCCTTAGGCACAAGAGAGTCAGCCGGACCTGGTAAGAGAAGGATGAAAACAAATGTCAACTGTGTTGGAAAATGGCAAGAGGATAATGTAGCTGGTAGTAGACATGAAGTGTAGGGGAATGGGATCGTTTAATTTCGCTACTAAAGCTGGGGTACAGTGGCATGAGAATTTTCCAGGGCATGCAAAGGAAAGGAGGGCCCAGGGCTTCCTGATGGAGCTGGAGCCTGGCATGTGTGAACTAGAGTTGAGAATACATGTGTCATCAATTCCAAGATTTATTGGAGCAAGAGAATGGCAGACACGTGGCTTCTAAAGTTATAACGCTATCCTGTGTATGAACACTGATTGGTATCCTTTCCCAAGCACACAACAGACTTGGAGCCTCAAGCTGGGAAAGATGTAATCTGCAGATATCAGTCTTCTTCAGCTCAGAAGCAAGGCAGGACAGTACCCCAGAGCCCAGCCCAGGAAGCATGGCCAGCTAGGTTCACTGAACCCCTGAGTGAATGTCCAAAGGACTCACTTGGTATATAATCCAAGAATGGAAAATGGATTGTCATTTAGAATCGGTCCCCTGACAGCATCAGGAATAGCTGGAACCAGGAACTGACATAATCAAAACAAGGATCTGGAAGGTGAGGGCCCCATGACCCTAGCACACATTCATACTCCTTGGCTCGGTGTGATTCATGTCTGTCTTCCGGGGCCTCTGACAGCTTTTCTATTTGGGTCCCATGTCTATGCCAAACAAGGCAACATCTACAAAGGCAAAAACAATGGCAACAATTCCTTTGATTTACCCGTAAAAAGCTAAGAATGGAATAGACAAGGTAAGCTCAGACTTGTGCATCAAATCTTAGAATTCTGTAACTCCTTGAGGTTTAGGGTAAGTTTAGGACACACGTAAAGAAGCACTGCTCCATACAGAAGGTAGTCAACCTTTTGAAGTCAGAATCCTCAGATGTAGGGTGATAAAATACATTCTAGGAAAGGTATAGGCCAAATCTTGGATGAAAGGGACATCAGAGGAGCCAGGGACACCCTGGGGTGTCTTTCTGACTTCTGAGGGACAGGTCCAGGTGAGGAGGAGTGTCCATCCAGACTGTGCTCTTGAAGCCCTCCTCCGAGATGGAAAGAGGGACTGGACAAATGGTAGACAAACAGCAGCAAGTTCGATGGCCTTAGTCATTTTGTTACACAGTCACTCTTTCCTTTGACCCCATCATCGTTTAGCTGTATTTCAGAACCAATACCGCGCTGAACTGGAATTGGACAAAAGTGATGAGTGCGCCCCCAAGCCTGGATTATTTACCACCAAGGGCACCGAACCAGCATGCCCTCGGTAGCATAGGATCTGGGACCCTGGCCGCACCTGATATCCCCAGGGTGATGAATTTGGACCCCAGGAATGTGAGGAGAGAAAAGGCAGGGTGGGCGGGGGACGCGGTACCTGCGCACACCACGCCCGCATCCTCGCGGTGCTGGCAGTTGTGTCGGGCCCACCCCGAGTGGGCGCAGCGTTCCAGCGCGTCCTCATTGCCGGCGCAGCGCACATCGTCCAACAGGATGGGCCCGGTGCCCTGGCCAAAGCGGCCGCGGCCCGGGGCACCCAGAGCGCGGCCGCAACCCAGGAGGCGGCACACCACGCGGGCGTTCCTGATGTTCCAGTGGTCGTCGCACACCGTGCCCCACACGCCCTGGTGCCGCAGCTCCACCCGGCCCTCGCAGCGGCTTCGCCCGCCCGCCAGGCGCAGGGGCGGCTCTGTGTGGCGAGAGAAGCAGTCAGGTGGGAAGAAACTCGAGGTCAGGTTTCCATCCTGTGCAGGATCGCAGGGTGCCACTTGCTATTTGCAATACGAGCTGTTTCTGGTTTGGTTTTGTTTTGTTTCTCTCTCTCTCTCTCTCTCTCTCTCTCTCTCTCTCTCTGTCTCTCTCTCTCTCTCTCTCACACACACACACACACACAGACACACACACACACATACACTCTTTCTCTCATACAGTAAAGCCTTAATTATCTGAAGTCCTCAAGGAATGGTCCTTGTGGGCAAGCCTAGTTTTCCAGGTACCTAAGAACTTAATCTTTAAGCAAAAATATAAAAACCCAAAGAAAACAAAACAAACAGGCAAAACAAAAAACCCAAACACTTTCAAATCTTCAGGAGACAGTTGTTCTAAAATGAGGCACTGCCTTGACTCATTAAACATGTATCCAATGAAACTACTTTTACTCTTGATGGCTAAGAGCTCATACGTTTGCTCTAAAATCCATATTGTACAACCCAGCTCTTCCACTTGGTATTTACTCAAGAGGAACGAATGTGCATGTCCACAGAAAGATTTGGACACAGCAGAAGCTCCCCAAACAGCCCAAATCCAGAAACAATCCAGGTGCCCCTCTGCAGGAGAAGGGGTAAATCATGGTATAGGCACACGGTGGAATAATACTGTACAGTAAAAAAGTCACAAATGACCAATACATTTGTTCCTTTATGAATCTCAAAAACATTTTAAGTGAAAGAAGTTAGAAACATGACAGCACATATTATTTGATTCCATTTATATGACATTCTAGAAAAACATACCTATTCTATAGTGATGGAAGGCAGATCAGTGTTCGCTTGGGGAAGGTGGGAAAGATTTACTGAGAAAGGGCATGAGGGAACTTCCTGGTGTGATGGAAATGCTCTCTGTCTTGATGGTGGTGGTTACACAGTTGTGTATGTTAGACAAAACTCATAGATGCATGCAGTTTATTGTATAGAAATTATACTTCCAAAAGGTTGATTTGAAAAATAAAAACAATAAAAAGTAAAATCTATATTATGTTGGTGGTGTCATGCCCACAGACATGTGTAGAATGATTTGCCTTTATATCGGTCTGTGGTGACTGCGTCTTTCAATTTTCTGCTCTGTTTGACACATAGAAGATGCTTAGTGAATGTTAAACACCATGGGCTTCTGTTTCTCTGTGACTGTGGGATGCTGGTCTAGGCTGCTTACTCTCCTCATCTTGTTTATTGCTGTAATATTGGAAGCAAGATAACCATGCTCGTTTGAACTATGAATAAGGGTAAATATCTTCTGGATAAGGTTTCAGAAAGTGAATTTTGGGATTTCAACCCACAAAGTGCATGTGTATCCACACACGCCTGTGTCTGCACATACACACCTACAAGCTCATAAAATTTTCCTGTAAAGAGTAAGGAAGTTAAATGAAAAAGAAATATGATCCTAATAGTATTAATAGAGTTATGATCATTTTAGTGTTTAGAGACAAACAAAAATTACCAAGTACAGGGACCATCTTTTCATCAACTGAAATTTTAACTGTAAATAAGAAAAAAAGAAACTTTAAAGATGTGTATTCGTATTTATATTCAAACCTGAAAAAGAACCAAACATTTTCTCTAATTTCAGATACCAATACATTGTTTAAGTTCCTACTTTGGTTTGGGTGCAGAAATATTATCTATGAAGTTTTACTTTTTTTGCCATCAAAATGTATTAAATGACCAGGTGCCAGTGCTCACACTTGTAATCCCAGCACTTTGGGAGGTTGAGGTGGGAGAATCACTTGCACCCAGGAGTTCAAGACCAGCTTGGGTGATATGGCAAGATCCAATATTTATTAAAAATTTTTAAAAAATTAGCTGCATGGTGGTGCACACCTGTGTTCCTAGCTACTCGGGAGGCTGAGGTGGGAGGATCACTTGAGCACAAAAGGTCAAGCCTGCAGTGATTGCACCACCGCGCTCCAGCCTTGGCAACAGAGCAAGACCCTATCAAAAAAATAAAAATAAAAAGGTAATAAGTAGTGCTGTATCCTGTTTATTCTCCAGACATAAAATAATGTATTAAATGGTCAGAAAAAAATATTTATAAATATACTGAATTTTGAAAGGAAGAATTAAAAAACCATATTTTGTAGAAAACATTTTTAGAGGGGCTGAAAATGAATCCAAGAAAATCAAGTTAGTTTCCTCATAAATATTTTTAGATGAGAGAAAGATCATGTCTTAGAGATGTAATTCAATAGTAACATATACAGAGGAAAGCCTGGTAGAAAAATTAACAATGGATTTTATGAAATAATATAGTAGTGTAAATAATAAAATGAAGCATTAATCTAGCAACAGGCATAAGATCATTACCTGGTGATGGTGTCACTTTGGTTGAAGTTAGATCTGTGGCTGCAAAAAAAAAAAAAAAATTCTCTTGAAAAGAAAACATTAAAATTTGGCTTCATTGAAATTTTACACTGTAGACTCTAAGTGTATGAAAACGAGCCTATTTCATAAGTGATATGCAATAGAAATCCACCCTGTGCATTGATCTTGTGGATTTATACATTCAGGCATGAACTTGAGTACGAGAGGTTGGCATTTTGCAAGGGAGGCTGACAATTCTTCTTTTGAACGTCTACAGTGTGTCAGATAATTTGCATCTCTGGTCCTCATGACAACAATTTTAGGTAAGTATCGTCATTATTTTAGAGATGAGGAAATGGAGACTCAGAGGTTGTATAGTATGCTCAGGTTATCCACAATTCAAGCCCGTGATGCCCCAAAGCATGTATTTTAAGCACTTCGCCTTTCAGGAGCATAATGTGTGGGAGTTGCATTCACCCGGGCTCCATGTGGTTAATCAGGGATGAAGGGGAAGGAAGGTAAAATGGTCACCACACATTTTCTCCTACTCCAAGGTGGCCCTTCCCAAACAAACAGGAAGTGATTTCACTGTCATGCCTTCACAAAGGAAGTAAAACCTGAGTGTCACCTAATTTGTGACCAAAGCAAACCAGTTACCATCAACCAGATCCACAAAGAAAAGGTTGCCTCATGTGATGTCAAGAGCCAGTGAGAATTACAAGCAAAGGAATCTTCTGACAAAAGTGGAGTCATGGTGTGGGTGGGAAGGAAGGAAGTGAGGAAATGAGGGATGGAGATAGGAGGAAAGCAAAGGAGAGAGGGAGAAAGAAAGGAAGTAAAAGGAAGGAAGGAGGGAGGGAAGGAAGGAAGGAAGGAAGGAAGGAAGGAAGGAAGGAAGGAAGGAGGGAAGGAGAGAGGGAGGGAAGGAGGGAGGGAGGGAAGGCAGGTAGGCAAGAAGGCAGGCAGGCAGGCCATACTTAAACATAAGTGAAAAGAAAGTGCTGAACTTTGGTTTCATTGAATTTTACCCCCATATGTCTTCAAAGTACCCAGGACGTGGGGGAAAAAAGAAAATAAATAAAATAGAAGAAAGCAGCAGAGCCTTGTTACTGAAGACGTCAATGTCATAGGGATTTGGGAGACTCACACAGATGGATTCACCAGCAGAGCGTGAGAGCAGAAAGGACTTTGGATAGGAGTCAGGACATCTGGCTCTGCCTCACCCTAGCTCTGTGACTTTAGGCAAATCTTTTCCTTCTTTGGGCCTCATTTTCCTCCAAAGCGAGGGTGGTGGTTTAGCACCTTACTCTCCCAACCGGGTACATGACCGGCAGCAGTGGCATCACCTGGGAGCCTGTTAGAAAAGATCTATCCATAGCTACTGAATTTGCATTTCACTAGTTCCACATGAGGCTCACACACGTATGAGACTTGAAGTTTTAAGCTATTTTATCCTATTTATCCTGCCCCAGCATCCACCTTGGCTGTGTGCAGTCTCATGACTGGTGATAGGGGAGTGGCTGAAATCCTCCGGGGAGTTGAGTGGCCTCCCCCGACCTCTCCTCTCTTCTCCCCTGACCTCACCTGGGGAAACAGCAGTGTTTATTCTGGGTGTGTAAATGCTTGCTGGGCTGAGCATGCTCAGAAAGTCATTCATGAGGGCTGCTGCAAGGAGCAGAGAGCATACCTGATGAAGAAGTGGCTTCAGCTGCAGTGGGAGTCGTATCTGCAAATGCAGGGGAATGTTTTAGTTTGATCAACTACATGGTGGAAAACAGAAGGGCAGATGGAAGAACTAACACCATCGCAACCCAGATTTTTCATGTGTGTGTTGAGGTGTGCTTGCTGGGTCAAAGCATCACCTGAAACATGACACACACAGCCAAGCAGGAGAGGTGTGGACCCCCAGCCCTGGCCTCTCGTGGGCACATCTGATCAAGACCAGTGCATGACACACACAGGCCAAGCAGGAGACGTGTGGACCACCGGCCCTGGCCTCCCATGGGCACATCTGATCAAGACCAGTGCATGACACACACAGGCCAAGCCGGAGAGGTGTGGACCACCAGCCCTTGCCTCCCATGGGCACATCCAATCAAGACCAGTACATGACACACACAGACCAAGCAGGAGAGGTGTGGGTCTCAGCCCTGGCCTCCTGTGAGCACATCTGATCAAGACCAGTACAGCAAGCAGAAGGTGTGCCCTGGTGGAGTGGCCACTTCTGTGTCTACAGATGAAGAGAACATGAACCTCAGTTTCTGTGAAAAGGATGCTGGGGTTTCTGTTTACACTGAGGTTCATACCACAGACAGAATAGCCAGTACCTATATATGTTCATTTGCCACAGAGAAAGAGAAAAAGTTGATCATATTGAACTATAGAAATGTGACAGGCAGAAAACATTACCGGAGGGTGTGTTCACTTCTGCTGAGGTTGAAGATGCATCTGTGTATTAACAAAGAGAGCAGGACACAAACATGAGTGGAAGAAGGCTGGCTGTGTCTTTTCACTGAGGTTTACTTTGCAGGAAAAAGGATCATTACTGAGGTTCATTTTCTGAATAGAACATGACACACACGAAGCCAGTCTCATTAACTTAAACAGTATCACGAGGGAGACTTTACCAGGTGGAGAGGTCACTTCTGCTGAGGTTGAAGAGATCTCTAGAGATAAAAGGAAGAAACGACATATACCAGTGGAGGGGACTCCTGAGTTTCTGTTTTTACTGAGGCTATGTTGGGGACAAAATTTTTGAATTCCATTTTGATAAGCAGATCTCCAAGAAGAGGCACTGATGGGACAGCAGTCAGAGTGTTCTACCTGGTGTGGAGGTCACAGCAGTGGAGATGGAAACTTCAGGTGAACACAAAGGACAAGGCAGCAATAAGACACTCTTGTCAGGCACACGTGCCTCTACAAGATGCAGGAGATGAGAAGGTGGTGTCCTGGATCAGTGACTCCAGGCTTGTCCTCCTGCTCTGCAGACAGGAGTCATGGCAAGGCATCTCCAGATCCCCCACTGCCTCTAAGCCACCCCTCCGTTCCTTCCTGTGGGTCTCCATTCCTCTTGCCAACATGCTACTTCTTCCCATGGAGGTAGAGGCGACTGGGGGGCCACAGCCATGGGCCAGGTTTCTCAGTGGTATGGAGTTAATCTAACAAAGATTCTGTGAGTGGGGACTTGCTTTCCCGGCCTTTCTCCTCCTTTTAAATGGTTGGGGGCAGTGACCGAGGAAAGGGTCAGCTCTGCAGACTGGAACTTTCCCTAGTGAGCTGTCCCAAGATCTAGCTGAGGGTAGGAAGGGGTGGCGGGTCCATTTGTCTTTTGTACTGTTTCCTGCCAATTCAGCTTTATCAGTAATAAAGGCCTCATTTTGCTGCTGAATCTGATGTTTTATACCTCATTTGCTTCAGCCCCTAGAGGAGGGAAGACCACCCTCATTATCCCCCTTCCCTTACCAAAAAAAACCCCCACAAGTCCCTCTACACTCTATTTGTGAAGTTCTCAAACCCAGAGTCACATTAGAAACTCCTCAGATAATTCCAACCAGCATCACTCCAAATCTATTGTATAAGAGACAAGTTGCTTGCTGTCTTGGTCAACTCCGCATCCCTTACTGCCTTGGCCATCCTCATTGAATGCTGATGAATGTCAAGGAGGATGAGGGAAAACCATGGCTTGACTTCTTTCCATTCTGGAAATACCACTTGGTGGCTGATCTCCAGGAGAAGTTCTCTCCACAGACTCAAGTAGGTGATTACCTTAGACCAGTGGTCCCCAACTTTTTGACACCAGGGATCGGTTTTGTGGAAAACAAATTTTCCACGGATGGCAGGGAGGATGGTGGATGGTTTCAGGATGAAACTGTTCTACCTCAGATCATCAGGCATTAGTCAGATTCTTGTAAGGTACACACAACCTAGATTCCTCACATGTGCAGTTCACAACAAGGTTTGTGCTCCCATGAGAATCTAATGCTGCCACTAATCTGGCAGGAGGCAGAGCTCAGGTGGTAATGCTTGCTTGCCCACCATTCACCTCTTGCTGTGTGGCCCAGTTCCTAACAGGCCATAGAGCCCTACTGGTCTGTGACCTGGGGGTTGAGGACCCCTGCCTTAGACTACCAGTCAGTCAGTGAATGTTTTCATGGATTCAACTTGGCCTAATGGGTTGAACAAATTTTTCCCTTGGCTTATGCATTGAACTGAGCTGCCCAGAATTCATTGACCATCAGGGAATCAGAGATGGCCTTCAAAAGTAAGGTCAATATAAACATATTTAAAAACTCAAAAGATGACTAAAAATTAAAGAATTTAACCAGGACATAAGAAGTTGTTTAATAAATTCACTGGAAAACCAAACAAAAAAGATTATAGCAAGCAAGATGGAACCCAAAATAACACTTAAATTACCTGTTGAGGTGGTTAGAGCAGTATTCAAGGATACTGGAAATGAGAAAAGGTAATTGGTCAAAACCTACCAAATGGCAAAGAAATTTTGTTTCATAGTTAATTTGTTTTCTTCTCTGTGTCCCTAGAACATAGAAACCATGGTCTTCATTTATTTAATTAACAAATATTGACTGCCCACTCCTCTGTGCCAGGGACTGTGCCAGGGCTGGAGTAAAACAGCCAACAAAACTACATATGGTTCTTTCTGTCCTCAAAGAGAGGATTGTCATGGGAAATTCAGATGAGGTCAAATGATTATACATACAAATGTAAAATTGCAATTGTAGCCAGTGCTATGAAGGAGAGATGCATGGCACAGAGCCCAAGCAGGTAATCAGACCTAGCCAGGAAGGTCCTCTCTCTATCTTACCATCCTCCAACCACCACCTCATGCCAGGCAGAGAGTCTGGCCTGGATGATGCACCCTGCTCAAAGATGATGACAACTTGACACCACACCACCTCCAAGTCTGCCTAGTCTTGGCCCCAGTGGTGGACAGAGGTGATCCTGGTGTCCCATTTGCATACATATGCAGTGCAGTGGGCAGAGGGCATTACCAGGTGAAGGAATTACTTCTTCTGAAGTGGAAGCTATGCCTGAATATGAAACATAAGCAGAAATGTTAGTCAATTGATCAGAAAATTTTTATTCATTTTCATTCATTTTTATTCACAGTTCTGCCTTTACTTTGGTCTCATTTACTAGGAGGCTTTGTTGTTGGAAAAATTCACCTATGACGACTAGCTATTTTCCACCCTCTCAAATTCCCATCTTCCAAACTTAAAAACATATGCATGGTTATAAATTAAATCCTTCCTGAACTGAAACATGCTTCCCCGTTCTTTTAAATAAAAGATACTGATCATACTTGAACCTGCATGAATTCGGACTCATTAGGAAGGTATCATTGCTGTTCCAGGATTCGATACAGAGCTGTTTCAAAGGATGTTGAGACAAGTGGGCATTTTTTGCTCCATTTAGAAAGTGACACTGAATGGTTTTTTTGAACCCTTCTATGCCTATCAGAGCATCTGCTAGCATTTCCTGTCATTGCCAATGTAGCTTCTCTATTAGGTCTATACCTCCTAGGCCCCTGCACGCCCTCCCCAACCTGTTGTCTCTACTAATATATAGTCAGCAGGGAGACCAGATAGCCGACTGTTATGAGTGTGTAGAAAGTAAGAACAGGCTCTGAGTAACAGGCTCTGTGGTATACCTCTGTGGGTATTCGAACACTTGAACTTGAATGCTAGGATCTCAGTTTGGCCGCATGAGACACTCTTTGTCTATTTCTGGGTTCTAGTCTATTTTCCAAGGGATTCATTTAGCCAAGTGACTTCTGGACAAATGGTATAATTGTACTAGCTAGGTAAATTTCAACATAGCAATATCCCTTATATAGGCAGTAAAGGACATACGAGGAAAAAACTTGTTACCAGGTGTAAGGGCCAAATCTGTGGCTGAAATTGAAGCAGGAACTGTCAAGACAAGCAAAAGTTAAGAGAAAATTATAGTTAAATGCCATCCTTGTTAATCAAGTTCATTGGTAGAGAATTTTTAAAAATTGCCCTGTTTACAAATTATGCCCCAGCCGTGTTCCTGTTTCATTCTCGTATTCTCTGTTTATTAAGCTAAGGGGATTAATGATGGGGCAGGTGGGTCATGGGGCTGGGACTCAAGACACTTGGGTTCTAGTCTCTAGTCTTTGTGGAACAGAGTACGTGACCTTGGGCAAGCTCCTTTGCAACTCTGAGCTTCAGCTACTGCATCTGAAGGGCTAGTACGTGGAGAAGTCGCATCTGTATCACCTTGTTAGAAATATGCGCTCTCAGGATCCACTGAATCAGAATCTGTATTTTGATAAGATCTCCATGACAGCAATGTACACATTAAAGTTTGAGAATCACCAAGCGTGCAAATGGAGATGTCTATAGGCTTAGACATGCATGGAGGCCAGGAAGAAATGGGAGAGAGAAAGTATGTGCCATATAAAGGAAGCAGTCGTTTCCTGCTCAGCACCAGCCAATTGGTGCCCTGCTGATATTCATGTTGACCATTCTCAGATTTTTCGATCAAAGCTGGAGATCTGGATTTTTGTAGGATATCTTCCATTATTAAAAGGTGGGATTAAAACTAATTTAAACATGCATAGGTAAAACTGAGTTGTCTGCATCCAAACACAGTGGCAGGCCAAAACTGCCCCTGCCCGCTTATGACTTCCAGTCTGAGCAATCTCTAAGGTTTCTTACAACTCTTAGAAAAATGTTACACTGTGATGGTGTCATATGACTTGTTCTCGCCTAAAAGAACTGGTGGGCAATTTTCACAGATCCAGTCACCAAAAGAGCAACATGTTTCCTTGTTTGATTTTCCTTATAGGTTAGTGTGTACCAATCCTGGCAGAAGGCTTTGAGATTTTTGGAAATAAGGACCATGGAAATATGGACAGTTCAGAGAAAATTTGAGTTGAGCTGACTTGAATTGATATGATATTTCACTAGCTTATTTAGCCAAACAGTAGTTAACTTAAGCCTTAGGATGATCCCCAAAGTGTCCAGAGGAAGGAATTTTATAAAAGGACACATGGGTTGCTTACATTAGGGAGTCAAGCCAGAACTCGGTGGGCAGCACACACATCCCTAAGGATGTGACTGTGAAGCTCCCATCACTGCGTTCTTACACAAGTGTGACCACTCAGTCCCCAGGACAGGCTTCCGGGGTGACTGTTTTCATCCTCTTGTTCTACACATGAAGAAACTGAGGCTCTGAAAGGTGAGGAGACCTGACTGCTGTCACCCAGTTGGTTAAGGCTGGAGCCAGAACATAATCCCAGGTTCTCTGACTCCAAATCCTGCGAGGCTGCATTGTCACTCAAAAGGTTTCAGTGGTCAAAGAAGTTTGAGAATCACTGGATTAAACTAAGTTTGAAAAAAAGATCCCTTACTATAAAACTTGTCAGAGACTCTAATGTGTTAATAGGCTGTGAATCTTCAAGAGAGGCATATGGCATTTCCCTAACTTACATAGCCATGCAAATCCTTCTTTAAAATTTGCATATCAATAGATTAATGTACTGTACTGTGAAACACACTTGAGAGGTGTGGTACTCTATTATTTTCGAAAATGCAGATTAAAGTAGTTTTGCCTGAGATATCTGAAGTCCTGTGGCTTGAGGGTTAAAAAAAAACCTCAGACTCACTGGATACCCAAATGTATGGACACTGATGAGGATGTAAGTGAAGTCATGTCACTAAAACTTGATTTCAAAGACCAGCTGTTGCACCAAAGAGGGAGGAAACAAACTAGACATATCGTGTGCTATGTATGGAAGCCACACAATCTCTGTCAATGTACTCCTTCATTTAATGAATATATAAGCACCTTATACATTGATATGAGCTGGTATTTAATTTCATATGAGATATAAACTCCAACCCTAACCATATGCAAAGTAATCTACACATATCTGATTTATAGAAAGCAAGAAAGAAACTAAAATTACCAGGTGAAGTGATCATTTCTGTAGTTGATGCTGAAATTGTAAAACAAACAGGAATTTAGGGTTTTTTTAATTTTAAAAATTTATATCTCAGACACATTAAAATTAGATACAGAACAACTTTTGAGATGTAAAATTAAAAACGACAAAGGTTTCTTGGTTGAGACTGAAAGAGAGACAGGGATGCAAGAAGGCAGAAAGTGAGAAATGCCTATCGGTTGTGAGAACCCCCTGGGATGGATCAGAGAGGCTGTTTCACTAAGGCATTGAAGAGGACATTGCTTCTAGAATGGTAAAGTACTAGGAGCCTTCCTAATTCTGACTTTAGGTTTCTAATGCTGATTTCCCATTTTCACCAAACTACTTTTATAACACAATACCAAGTTGTCTGAGCACTAAAGGAAAGTGATTCCTTAACATAATAAAGCATATTGTGACTCTTGATTCAGTACTCACTTACTTTTGTTAATTGTCCATTACAGTTTAAATGCACAAATGACTCTAACCCTCCCACTGGAATGCAAGCTCCACAAGGGCAAGATTGTCTGTTGTGTTCATTGCTACATCCTCAGCACCTAGAACTGTGCCTGGCACATATGAAGTGCTCAATAAATATTTGTTAAATAAATGGATGAATTCAATCCTTTTAGTGTAGTCTTTGTCCTATAAAATTAAGATAAGCTAAGCAGTGAATATTGCATTTCATTTCCCTTTTTATTCTACTTTTTTGGGACGAGAAAGAAGCATAGATAATGCACAAACTGGGCTGATTTTTTTTTTTTTTTAAGGAAACTATGTCAAACCACAGAGGCCAAAAGAAGATAGTGTTGAAGCTTTCACACTGTATGTAGATGAGAGGATCTGGGTTTTCTTCATGGAATTTCCTGGAGCAGCACTGCAAAGTCAGCTTTAAAGCTCAAAACAGACAACTTTGGGACAAAGTCTAGGAAGTGCCATTACCCCAGTGGGTGGTTCACAGAACGATCTGGTAATTCCTTGAAGACTGCAGAGACAGAGGGCCCTAAGGTGAACTCATTGAGCCTTGAGTCAAACACTGGGTAGATCAACAAATTAAGAGAGACTGAGAATAGCCAAGAGGCCTCTGGAACCAAGATCAGGGCGGGATGTGAGGCTGAGGGACTTGGGGGCTGACCCAGGGTTTATTATATGTCATTATGTATTCACTGCCCCAGGGAGCTCAGTGTTGAGAGTGGACCTTGGGCATTTGTTTAGAGGATGCCAGTGAGACCCAAACTTCCTCACGTTGGTTTCCCAGGTCCCCCACTGAGAGTCATGGCTCTGGCAGCCTCAGGAGAAAGCTGGAAGTGAGTATCTGTGCAGATGAGCCCAGTATCTTCATGGTGGCCATAGCTGCAGATGGACAGACCCAGATGGCAGCACTGACCTGGTGTGGTCTCCATGCCTTGACACTGCACATCTTCCAGGAGGATGTGTCCCACGCCACCACCCCTCACCCCTGCAACAAAGTGGCCATTCCCTGGGGTGACCAACGTCCTCCCCACAGCCCAGCTGCTGGCACACCATGTGGGCAGCGTTGATGCCCCAGAGGTTGTCGCAGACAGTCCCCCATGTGCCATTGTGGTAGACTTCAATGTGCCCTTTGCACTGCCTCCTCCCATCTGCCAACCTGACAATGGGCAAGGCTGGGGGAGACCCAGAGGTTATCACTGGAATGTGATCAGCTCTTCTGACAGACACTAGTGGGACTTTTCTTAGTTCTTAATACACACTCTAAATTCCAAAACTCTAGACATTCTTGCTTCCTGCTTCTGGGTCCCATAGGACTAAGTCAAACTAGTGCTTGCAAATTCAGTAACTGACTTTTTGAGGCTATTTGTGATTTCCAATATTTTGTTCTCTCATTCTCATCTTTGGATTGGAAATATGGCAATTACAAGGATAAGGATAAGGATCTGTTTTGAAGCTGAGCCATCAAACTGATAGGCAATAGTGTGGGGATATGTCAAACTCAACCTTTGATTATTTCATTATTACGGGGGTCCAGGTTCACAGTTAAAAACATTTTTCAGGATCCAGAGACTAGACAAGTGGCAGCCACCTCTGTAACCTCTCCCCCTGTATCAACTCTGTATTTTCTCAGTCCTGGGGAGACATGAATCTGGGTGGGCACTGACATTACAGGGAGTCCCCTTGAAAGATTCAATAATTAGGAAGCTTTGAGGGAAACAATCAAAGGATTGCCAATGCTGGGGCCCATTTCTGTCAATGCTGGGGCAACTTCAGCAGCTGAAAGGGAAAACCAAGGCATCATCACAAGCACTTCAGCACTTTAAAAGATTAAGCCCAAACTAGACAATGTCTCTGCACCACTTTTCCCATTTTCCCTCCCATGGGGGTGACCCTCACTGTCTGACAGTAATTGGAAGCATCTATCTGAACTTTGTCAGGGTAGCATCATTGATGGTCACCTGGGGGATTTGAAGCTACAGAGAAGGATGATGAACACTTGATGCCATTTTAACTCAGAGTTTTTATGCTGACACACCATGACTCGTTTGAAACACTGAACACTAAGTGTTCAGATAAAAAAAAAATGTGTGTCATTTTCAGGTGGTTTTTCTAAAAATTCCAAGAAATGCAGCTGAATGCTTGGAGCTCAGATTTCGCATTCCTAACTCAGGTCTCTCCAAGAACATTATGAAATTCTTGGTACAAAATTAATTTTGCTTTACTTGAATTTAGAAAAGTGTAAAGTATTGATTGAGAAATGGTGAAGGTGGTTGGGATTGGAAAATCCAGCAGCAGAAGACAGAACATTACCGTGACAAGCAAGTAAAAATTGATCAAATGAAACGGACGCCTGCGCCCAAAGCAGATGAAGGTGACTCTCAGGATCTGTGTCCCCAGGAACTGGGGCTGGTTCCTGAGGCCCCTGTAGAAGGACCTGCAGGTGGAGTAGCTGCTGCTGCTGCTGCTGCTGCTGCACAGGGCAGTGGCTGAGTGGGCTCTCTCCTTGGAAAGACCCCTACTCCACAAGAATCCTCCAGGTCACCAGCTTGCCTCTCATGAGCACAGCTCTTATTGCACACAGCACCAGGGCCAGGGAAATCACATTTGCTACATTTCCATTAGTCACAAAAGGTCAGACCCCAGCCTCAGGAAAACCGTTACAAAATATAAGAATGGGGAAAGTACCTGTTAGATGAAAACCGCTTGAGTGCTCCCCAGGAGTTGAAGAAACTATGACATAAAAAAGAAAAATAGTTAGCATAATTACATTCCAAACACACACAATGATATTTCACACTCTTCTCAAATATCATCTGAATCACATGTATGAGTCTGCCTTTAAACAACCCTATTCAGGCTCTAATCGAATAGTTACCACTTAAAATTTGATGGTACCCCATACATGGATGTGTATTATTCTGATTAAGAATAAGAAAATAAAAGAAATGAAATTCATGTTGGGATTGTGAAGATATGGCCCCATAGGCAGGGGTGCCTTGTCAGAACTACAGAGTTCAGCAGCTGCTGCTGGGACCCAGGTGAGGCTGCAGGTAGAGGAGCAGCTCCTGTCTCCAAGCCCTCCTACCCCAGGCTCTCCTGCCTCCAGGCCCTCCTACCCCCAGGCTCTCCTTCCCCCAGGCCCTGCCTGCCCCCCCCCCCACCCCGCTCTCCTACCCCCAGGATCTCCTTCCCCCAGGCCCTCCTGCAACCCCCCAAACCCCTCTCTCCTACCCCCAGGTTCTCCTGCCCCCAGGCCCTCCTACCCCCAGGCTCTCCTTCCCCCAGGCCCTGCCTGCCCCCCCCCCCACCCCGCTCTCCTACCCCCAGGATCTCCTTCCCCCAGGCCCTCCTGCAACCCCCCAAACCCCTCTCTCCTACCCCCAGGTTCTCCTGCCCCCAGGCCCTCCTACCCCCAGGATCTCATGCCCCCAGGCTCTCCTGTCCCCAGGTCCTTCTGCCCCAGGTCCCCTTCCCCTATGGCTGCCTGCTTTCTCTGGATTGCCATGGCCTCTGTTGCATGAGCCAACCCTTTGGTTCAAGTATCTTAGAGTCCTGTTGAAATGCTCTCGTCTGTGGAAGGGATGATACATCTACCTGCTGACATCCAGCCGAGGGAATGGGAAACAGCCCTGGGTCTTCACCTTCTGGGAAGGTGGAAGGGTCTGGAGCTCGGAGCATGTCAAGGAAAGTTAAAGCTCATAAGGGAGACCCAGCATAGGCTGGGGTCGGGAGACCAAGTAGAGGTGACGGCCAGCCACCAGTCAGCAAATAAAATGGACATAAACTCACAGATACCTGGATGTCCAGCAGCTGCAGAATCTGCAGAGATAAAGGAAATGAGGATGGTTTAATAATAGAAACTGGAATGGTAGAGTGATTTAAAGATCATTGTTTCGGTTTAAACGTGACTCATGGAAGCTGGGCATAAATAATCAGTCTGAAGCATTCAGGGCTGTCCCCTCTGGGTTTATACAGCCAGGTGTAGGTTGTGGGATGTCTAACCTGGCTACAAACTTTGAGGCAGTGATGCTGATAGAATTTGCCTTGGTAACTAAAATACCAACTAAATGGTAATATTTTTGTGTATTTATGGTTTGTCCGATGCTTGACTACATGTTCTACATCAGTTGTCTCAATTAATCCACCCAATAACTCCATGGAATAAATGTCATGATTTTCTTTCTTTTATAATTAATTGAACTTTGCAGGTACTCAAGTTGAATGGGACCCTCCCGTATATTGAACAGCTGGGCATATTTTCCAGAGTCTGAGCAGAAGTCCACTGTCCTGCACACGGGGAAAGGTTTTAGGCACAGAGGCATTTTCAGACTCTATCTGAGGATCTCGGGCTTGGTCCAGGCAGCTGCAAGACTGGTCTAGGGGGACCTTCACTTACCTGAGCAGATGACGCCAGCATCTTCACGGTGCCCACAGTTGTGAGTGAACCAACCGCCATGAGGGCACTGCCCCAGAGAGGACTCCCTTCCCGTGCAGTTGACATCATCGAGGACGATGCTGCCTGACCCAGGGCTGAAGCTGGCTCCTGGGAGGGCAGACACGGCCAGGCCACAGCCCAGCTGCCTGCAGACCACGTGAGCATCCTCTATAGACCAGCTGTCATCGCACACGGTGCCCCAGGTGTTGGCGTGGTAAACCTCAACTCGGCCCTCACATCTGCTGGACCCGTTCACCAGCCGCAGTCCCAGACCTTGTGGACATTCCAAAGAAAGACCTTATGAAGTCACATCCATAAAGCCCACCAGAGAAGCCACTATTTCCTGGGAATTATGCACTGACAATTGAGGATAATGAATCCACTCCCTCCTTTATTTAATTTTGTTCAAGTTTGCTTGGTACTACTCTGTGTATTTTTTTGTGATTGGTTAAGAAATGGCTGTTCCTTGCCACTGGCTGGACCTGGCCTGCCCCACGGCATAGCTGTTCTTTCCCTGTGTGTGGGGAAGTCTTGGTTTCTGACATTCACAGGGTGTGTTGGATTTTTCACAAGAAGCTGTCATGTATACGCTGTGTGTAAGTGTGTGCGTGTATGTGTGTGTAAGTGTGTATGTGTGTGTAGTGTGTGTGTTTCTGTGTGCCCTTGCACGTCGGTCAAGAGACAGTAACAATAGCTCCCATCTCTGTTATTCCTGGGATCAGGCATAACCTATGTGTGAAGACATTCCAGGGACTGGAAAGAGCCATCATTGCAGGCTGCCTCCTATGTTCAAAGGGCAATGTTACAAAAGGGAGCAGAAGCTGGCTGTGCTTGGAACACAGATACGGTGAGCCCACAGGTGTGGGGATTTGGGGTGAGCAGGCAACCTGTCCTTCCTGGGGGCCTCTTCCAAACCAGCCCCCAAGAGCCACTCTTGCATCTCACAACCTCTTCTTTCCTGTCACTTTCCAATCACAGATTTTCCAGGTGAACCTGGACATTGCCAGCAGTTCCTCCGGCAGCCTGAGGCCATGGAGGAGGGTGGAAGTCAGGACGCTTCCTCCCCTAGTGCTGGGATGTTTGTGAATTAAAACTGCATAGAGGGAGGGCCAGTGAAGTGAGAAGAAAGGGTGACCTGTCCATGTGGGCACCTCTGTTGGCTTTGGAAAAGATGCTGCAAAAGGGGAAAATTATACATCTTGGGTAAACCTTTGAGGTTTACGCCAAACTTTCAGTCCACTGTGGGTGGGCTGTCCACCCTGTGGATTATCGATAGACAGTTTCTGATTCTGAATGGGATTTCCTTCTCATGGCCTTTCTCTGTGGGCAGTACTCCTTCCATCACCCAACTGGCATGTTAGGAAATATAAGCTTGGGAAAACCATGGCTTGGTGCCTGATCTTTTTTTTTTTTTAATACATATAGTTTATTATTATTATTATTTGAGATGGAATCTTGCTCTGTTGCTCAGGTTGGAGTGCAGTTGCATGATCTCAGCTCACTGCAACCTCCGTCTCCCAGGTTCAAACAATTCTCCTGCCTCAGCCTCCTGAGTAGTGGGGATTACAGACATGCCCCACCAAGCCCAGATAATTTTTGTATTTTTAGTAGAGACGGGATTTCACCATGTTGGTCAAGCTGGTCTCAAACTCCTGACCTTAGGCAATCCGCCCTCAGCCTCCCAAAGTGCTGGGATTACAGGCGTCAGCCACTACACCTGGCCAATAGATATGTTTTAAATTCAAGAAAACATCCTTTGGGGCCCTCTATTGTTCAGTATAAGCTACCCTGGTGCTACTTCTAAGTGCTTGGGGTCATTTCTCTCTTTCCCAGCTCCTCTCTGCATATTGTACTTTACTCTTCTAAGGGCCTATCGTGGAAGAGCTGCTGGAACTGTAAAGACCACTGGCGAACTAGAGCTGGGAGCAAACTGTAATGTGATGCTTTCAGCTTTTCCATTCTTAACAATTCTGTCAAGTAGAAGAAGGCAGTACCCAGAGATAAATCCCTGCCAGGCTCTGACCTTGGATGAGGCGAGGGTCAGAGACACGTGGCTCATGTCTGCGAGTAGTATGCCCCGCCCACCACAGGGCAAGAGCTGGCTTGGATATTCACACTCATCAGAGGAGAAAATGTAGGCAGGAAGCAGCTCAGAGATTTGCTAGAGGCCTCACAGCCAGTAAATGAAGAGACTGGAAGATAAGCCCAGGGCATTTGGACCCTAAATAACTACTCTACTGCCTAGGGGGCTTTGCTAGGGCAAGTTAAAGCTCATCAATTCAAAACAACCAAAATTACCTGAGGTCGGGTAACTCACAGCAGTGGATGCTCCTATGTAAGGCAGAAAGGCAGTGGAGGACATAGACGGTGTGGGTAGCTCATCTCCCTTCAGTTCTCCTAAACCTGAGAGAGAGGTAGGCTTGCTTACTTCAGTCAGAAAGGTACCAGGTCTTGTTTGGGGGAGAAACTGCACACAATCTGGCATCTAAAAATGGCCCTGAGTTACTTTGGTTACAACTATCTTATGTCCTGGATCACCAAATTTGTGTCTGTCTTGTTGCCAGACATGCGACATCACCTCTTTTCTTTCTTCCTGTTCTTTCTTCTTCCATCTCCTCCTTCTCCTTTCTTTCTCTCTCTCTTCCTCTCCCTCTCTCTCCTTCCTTCCTTCCCTTCCTCCCTTCCTTTCTTCCCTTCCCTCCTTTTCCCTCCCCTCCCCTCTTTCCTACCTTTTTAGTTTTGGGCAAACTGTGGCTCCAGGGATGGCCCCTGGCATGGAGCACTTGTTTTGCCAGTTGGTTTGGTTTTGTAATTCTTCTGGGTGTGTGTGTGAGTCCCGCCTCTGAGTAAGTGTCAGCTCATAAAGGGCAGAACCGCATTTATCTCAAGAACATACACCAGTGACCTCAGTGCAGGGAGGGAGTCAAAAGGCCCCTGAGTGGGCTGTGGAGCTGGACCAGGAGCTCAGGGCCAGGATGAAAAAAAGCTCAGAGCTTCTGCTTGGTGGTCCATCCAGGCACCTATGACCCACTCCCATGCTCTGCCCAGGGCCCTGGTTCCAAACCTCATGGCCCTTATAGCCCCCAGCCCTGTCCTCTGATGTCACTCGGCATGCGGCACCAGCTTCTGTTTTGCTCAGAGCATTGATTCTGTCCCTTGACCTCTCTCTGCGCAGAACCTTCAAATATCTTCACCTGCTCCTTGCCCCTTCATCCTATCTCAGGTGGATGCTGCCAGGTCTAGCTGATAAGCCAGTTCACCTGTTCCCAGTTGAACCCATAAGGATTCAGAGACAGGTGGGAACTTTTGACTCCAACTACTGAATTTACTGAACTTTGACTCCAACAACTCCAACTACCGTTCAGCTTCGCCATCGTCAACACACAGGGCCAGTGGCCAACATGATTGCAGGACCTACCGGTATCATTCTCATCTTGCACAAGAGACTCATAAGATGCATAGAAGCCGATGTTGGTGATGATAGCATCGCTGTGGAACACCACCGACATGCAGTTGTAGGAGGAGGTAAATATCGGGATCTTCCTGGAACAGAATCTCCCTAGCGAAAAAGATTTGCTTTGTGGGCCATCAAAGATTTCAATGAAGTCGTATGGACAGCCATAGAAATTTTCCATTCTGTGAAGTGAAACAGTATCATTCAGACTCAGTCCACTGGGGCTTTCTTCCCAGTAAGCATTGCCCAGATTCGTTCAGGAAGTGATGAGGGAAAAATTATCTGAAATCTACATCTCTTCAAACAGGTTACAGGAAATGATGACCCTACTGATGTGGGCAGTAAGTATCCTTCTATTTCTAAAAATCTTTTAATTTCTAAAGTTTTACTGCAGTGGAACTTTCTGAATATGTATTACAAGCATGTGGGATAGAATTTAAGTGGTATTGATAGGCACATGGTGAAAAGTAAAATCTTCTTCCACCCCTAACTACCGGTCCCCTCTTACTTCACTCCCCTTCCTACAAACAGGTTCGATGAACAGTTTCTGTGTATTCCTTCCAGAAATAGTCTATGCACAAAAGGGAGCCTCTGTACTACTGTTTGTGGCTTTCTTTTTTTTTTTTGAGATGGAGTCTCGCTGGAGTGCAGTGGTGTGATCTCGGCTCACTGCAAGCTCCGCCTCCTGAGTTCACGCCATTCTCCCGCCTCAGCCTCCCAAGTAGCTGGGACTACAGGCGCCTGCCACCATGCCTGGCTAATTTTTTGTATTTTTTTTTAGTAGATACGGGGTTTCATCATGTTAGCCAGGATGGTCTCGATCTCCTGACATCGTGATCTGCCCGCCTTGGCCTCCCAAAGTGCTGGGATTACAGGCGTAAGCCACTGCGCCCGGTCTGTGGCTTTCTTATAGCTCATTCCATAGCAAGACCTACTGTGAGTGCGACAGCAATATGTGGATGTACCAAAATCCATTTAACTAATTCCCTACAGATGGACAATTAGGTTGTTTCCAATGTATTGCTAGCATGAGACTATGCCATGATTATTCTCAGTGCACATGAGACTTTATCTGTAGACCAAATTCCTGAAATTGGAATTGCTGGGTGAAAAGATCTGTGCATTTAAAATTTTAATCAATGTTACAATGGGCCCTCAAGACCTAGCTCACTTTTGAAAATTAACTATGGATTTTTTTGGAAGGAAAGGGGAGGTAGGTAGTAAAACTGGAGTGCATAACTGAGTCAGGATGAAAGTAAAGGTGGGAAATATTTACTCACTTTACCACTTCAAACGTGAGTTTCACACGAGCCCCAATATCCACTTGTATGTCCCAAGCACATACCACATTTGTGGGGTAATTTTTAGGATACCAAGGACTGGAGAAGGAGCCTGAATTATTTGTAAGCAAACCGCCACAGTGGAAATTTTCATCTGTAACAAACAGTGAACAAACCCCATCAAAAGTGAGCATTTACCTCTGCCTGTGTTTTCAGGGGGTTCAAAAGGGGACAGAGTGAGGACAAAGGTAAGGAAGACTTGGTCTAGAGCTGCTTTGGCTGATAGCTGGAAAAGTTAGCTTTGGAAAGGACCCCGAGCTCCCAGTGCTGTCCTGTGGGCAATGAAAATTGTCAAATGTGTTTTTGTGAGGAGAAAATGAGAGCGACATATGGTTGAAAGGACTTTATGAATCCATGTGCCCAATAGGTCTAAGCTTGTAGTGTAAAGGATAAGGGAGCAAAGACAATGAGACCACAAGCACCCTTTCTCAGCATCGAGTGGTATAAAATAGCTGGTGTTAGAAAACTCCTGGTTGTATTGTATGCAAATCTCAGCTGAAGTCAACACCAAGATAGCTTAAAATATCCAATTTACAGCTGAAATATTGGATTTGGTGAGAAATTTGTGCCAGATGGAGAACAAAGTAAATATAAAACCATGTGAAGAGGTTCTAACAGCTTAGGTACCTGTAGGGGGGTTGTCGCCAGTGGAGTCTGCAGAGACACAGAGAAAAAGTGACACTGTAAGCAAGGACTTTTATCCAGAATATTACTTGAAAATACTCAGAAACACTGACACTATAAAGCTGTGATTTCTCTGTGGCCCGATGGACAGAGATGCCTCTGGCTTCTCCAGGGTTCGGACACCTGCACACTCCATGCGTGGACTGGTGTCATTAGATACAACTTGTTGAGGGCTGACCTGGGATGTCTTCTTCCTTGTTCCCTCCAGCATCCTACAGTGTGAACATCCCTGCAGGCAGTTAACCCTCTCTTCACAGCAGATACTGAATGACCAGGGATTGCATTCCTGGTGAATCTGAACTTTCCCTCCCTCCTACCACTCCCCCATCCTCTACTGTCCCATGGCCTCGCCATTTTTGTCAACCCTACTGGGCTGCATTGCTCTTGTTAATTAACAACAGAGAATTTAACTGGACAGGGTCCCAACTTCAGGATGGAGGTGTAGCCAGGTTTCACTACATCAGGGACCTGGCAACAGGCAGAATTGTATAGAAAAGCCATACCTAAAAAAAAAAAAAAAAAAAGAAAAGCCATACCTGTTGGTTCTGCATTTGGTTTGCCACCAATACCTATCCAAAGATAGAAGAAAGAATGAGAGATGGATTGAGTAAGGCAGTTACATAGCTCATACAAATACTGGGTTCTTTTTTCAGGATCAAGCGTGTTCTTTTCAGGGCAGTTGGGAATGTAGTATCAAAACCTATCAATGTTGGTTACAAGATTGGCAGTTCTTCAGTCTCATGATGGTGCAAGTGAAGCCTGGTATTTATTTGCTTTGGTCAGTTATTGGACTGAGTGAGCTTCAGACACAGAATTGAGCTGTCTTTAACACAGTACTTCTGGGAGGTGAAATGTATGTAGTCTGGACCTGTGTGTGATCTTGGATATGCCCTTGTGGCTGCATCAGTACAATGAGGATGCTAATAGTCTCTATTTATTAGTGGTGGTAGAGATTAAATGAGAATACGAAAGCACCAGTTTTATCTTAGAGCCTGGTATGGGTTCAGCACTTGTTAGACACCAGCTACTATTCCCAGTCAGGAGAGAGTGGGTTGTCACCAACACCATGGCTTATCGTTGCTGGAATAGGATGGCTGATGACAAACCCTCTATTTAATCACCACAACTTTTCGGGCGGGATCTTGAACAGGTGCAACAATTTAAGTGAAAGAACACTAACTCTTAAGCAAATTGACTTAAACAGCTGGATTGAAGCCCAGGGCTCATTTCTGAGTTACTGCCCGCTGCTGTTGACGTCTCCCTTCCCAGAAGTGGCTGGTGGGTGAGACTCTCTCTCAGAGGTGTGCTTTGTGCCCCCAGGTGCTCACCTGAGCAGATAACACTGGCATCCTCGTGGTGTCCACAGTTATGGGAGAACCACTCGTTGTGTACGCATTGCCACACTTTGGCTTCATTTCCTGTGCACTGCACATCATCCAGCACGATGTGGCCAGTGCCACCATCAAAGTAGCTCTGAACTGGGGCTGACAGTGCCTCACCGCAGCCAAGTTGCTGGCACACCACCCTGGCATCCATCAGGTCCCAGCTGTCATCGCACACCGTGCCCCAGGTGCCGTTGTAGGAGACCTCCACCCGGCCCTCACACCTGTGGCTGCCATTCATCAGTCGCAGAGACATACCTGGGGGATAGGCAAATGGGGGCTTTTAAGCTGTGGTGATGTCTCCAGACTCTAGGACCTCTGCAGGTAGAAAATGTTAGCTGGCACTTGGGCACCTATTCCTGTATTAGGCTGTTGGACTCTAGGCAGGGTGGCATTGGGTGCTGATTTGCCTGGAATAGTTCTTGTTTATGAACATTGTAGATCAATTAATGCCTGTTAATTATCTTAGGGTTCTTTTTAAGCTGTCAAAAGTATTCCAGTTGGAGGATAAATTACATGGTCACCCTTAGCATAAGCCACTGAAAGCTCTGAAGTGTTCCCCAGATCCTGCTGTAGAACCTAACAGGCCTCTAAGTGTTATAGGTGGTTTTTGTATTAAATTCAGCTTGAAGCAGGTGGTTAGTTGAGATAGTTTTGTCCCAGAAGGATTTTTCTATTGCATTTTCCTTTACTTCTTTGGAGAAGAAGGGGGCTGTCTTTTGGATCCATCTACACACACAGTTGATGCAAACTATGAGATTTCAGGCCATCTGTTTCTTCAGCCAGGATGCTTTAGTGTAGAAAACTGACAGGGAGTGGCAGAGCAGGGTGAGCGTGAGGTCGGGGGCTTTTAGTATCTGCATGGATATCACTCCAGATGTCATTAATAAAGGTCAGATTTAGAAAGTGTCTTCTCTCTTAAAAGGAAAGATCATAAATCAGATCTAACTTCCTCCCAAGGTATGTGTTAGGGTACCTACCGTTCTCCCTTTCATCTTGCCGAATGGTGTTGTACAGAGCATAAAACCCTGTGTTGGTGATCATGGCGTCGCTTCTGAACACTGTGGTCATGATGTTTGAAGAAGAGAGGAATGTGAGCTCTGCCCCAGCACAAAACCTGCCCATGGAGAGTGAGGCAGCCTGTCGTCCATCAAACACTTCAATAAAGTCGTAAGGACATCCAGAGATGTCCTCTAATCTGAGGACATGAAGGCAAAGTTAGTATCTCCAAGGAAATCTGCGAAATGTTTCAGATAGAGTCATCTTTTGCATAGCATCCAGCCAAAAACTGCAGTCATCACTGCTCCACCCCCCACTCATCATTTGACCTATTGAATCTGCCCTTCTGTCCTTTCCTACTGGGGCTGCCCCAGGTCTGTTGGGGTCTCATCTTCCACCCAGTCTATTTCAGTAGCTTCTGGTATTCTGGCTTTCAGTCTCTCCTATCTTCTTCCTCTCTACCTTTAGTGTCTCCTGAATGTCCCCCAACTCTTTAATTCAAATCTTGCTACTCTCTGGGGTGGTGGCAAATATCTGACAGTGCCTCATTGAGTTAAACTCTCCAGAAGACCCAGAGCAGGGAGAAATGGTGACAGCTCTAAGAGCTCCGAGGGCTCCTCCCACCAATGCTCCGACCTGCCCTGTTCAAACCAAGTGTTTCATTGATGTTTCATCCAACCTGGATAATCAGAGAAGCTGACCCTGGCCATCCTACCTGTGGCTGCCTTCTCCTTCTTTATTTTCTATCCTATTATCATGTATGTATATTTTTTTCTTCATAGCATTTTTCAATTTATCACTAGTTGAAATTGTCCATTGAGTCATTGGTTTATCTGAGTCCCATTTGTCTCATCATCTAGAATACAAACTCTGTGAGGGTAGAGATCTTGCATTTCTTGGTTGGCACTAGGAGCCCGTTTCTAGTCCAGGGCCTGCTCAATAAATTGAATGGAGGCTCAATAAATATATGTTGAAAGAACACCAACATTGATCTAACATGATACAAGTATGAGATAGACATATTTGGATTTAAATAATAGTAAGTAGCCTTGAGTGCCTGTATGATACGTTCTCATTGCATAATATACATGAGATAGACATAATTACAGTTGTACACAAACTAAATACTGGATTTGAAAACCTACTTATCGCAGAACACAAATGCTGCAGTGAAGTAAAAGCCAAGTACCCCAAAATAACCCATTTTTATTTTTATTTTTTTAAAGTAAGTGATCACATTTGTGTGTAAGGTGACAAGAGTGTGGCAGTAACAGGTGACACTGCAACCTGAGAAATCATTTCATCAGAAAACAGGGCATGCTTTAAATAGCAAGAATGAAACAGCATTAAGAGCAATGTCAAAAAGTGCCGTTACTTTTGCACCTACCTGATACTTTAAATATAGATATAATTTTTACAAATTGAGGGTGTAGCAGAGTCCTGTAGGTGCTGAACTATTTTAAAAAATGAAAGTAAGAATCAGGGTAAATCAGGGTTTTTCAATCTCAGCGCTATCGATATTTGGTCCTGGGTAATTCTTTTCTGGACAGGGAGCTGGGGGAGCTGTCTTGTGCACTGCAGGACACTTAGCTGCATCTCTGGCCTCCACCCACTAGATGACAGTGGTGGTGCCTTCTAATTGTAACAATAAAAAATGTCTCCAGACCTAACCAAATGTCTTGTAGGGGTATATAATCACTTCCAATTGAGAACTGGAATAACAATAAATAGTAAATAATAACCAATTTTATGTTCTGAGAAACAAAAAAAGCAAATTTCAATAAATCTAGACTTTTAACATCAAAATTCAGAAATCAGCCACTATGGTCTGGTTTTGGGCAACACCTTAAAAAGCTCCTTAATTTGTATACTCCAAAATTATAGTATGAAACTCATGTTAGAATAATAACTTTGACATTACAGGGGATGTGGGCCATTACAACTGTTTGGAATAACCATTTCCCAGAAGTGATAAAATGAAACTGTGCCCTAAAACATTAGAACCGTGAATTTCAAAGATTTGAAATACACGGTACCAACTCTTCTCACACTGCTTTCAACAAATACATGTATGTTGAATGAAGGAATAAATGTATGTTGAATCAATGAATGATAAATGCATTTTGCTTATACTGCATAATGCCCCCTGATATTAGCTTATGTCCTTTCTATAAAAAATTATGTAACCACCAAATAAAGCCAATGCAATTCGCCCCTCCTCCACTGAGTAACATTTTATGTTTTTACAAGTAGCATTTAACCATTCAGATTCTCACTGCTGTGGCCAATGACGACAGGTGGAAAGCAGTGGCAGAGGTCTGGGGCATACTGTGGGACAAAGTCAGGAAGAGAGAATGACCCGGGTGCAACTCAGTATAGCAAGATGAAACCGGAGTTAAACATTATCAGGAAAAGTAATATTTTTGTTTAAATGTTACTCATGTATATGTACGTATATATGAAAACATGTGTGTGTATATACACCTACATGCATATAAATATACATTAAAATAGATACATTCCTTAAAAATGAGTGATGTAAGTTAAAGAAAGAAGTAGGAAGAACAAGGTGCATGATGAGGGGAATGAATGAACTGTTTAGTCTGTACAAGAAAATTCTTGGTAAGGACATGATAGAAATTCTTGACAAGAACAGGAAGCAGATTTGTGTAGCATCAGAGAGAAGAATGAAGATCAGACCATGAGGATGAGGAAGAATAGATCTGGGTTCAGATGGAGGAGGAAGGCTGTGTCTCAAACAGAACTCGTTAAGAGTTAAGGGGTGAGGTCTTCGTGTGTGGGTTGCCCCAGCTACAGCTCAACCGTCTGGTGTCAGGGAGGCCCATGGAGTATTCTCTCATTGCATAGGAAGTTGAGCTAAGTGATTAAATGACTCTCCACAGCTCAGATGATTAGAGCAATTCTCGCCGAAAATGTGAAAGGATTTATCCCACAAAAGTCTACCTCGCTGAGGAAAGTGTGGATTGAAATCTAAACTGGCCTTAAAAGTAGAGAAAGAAAACGTTGCTTACTTCAGGCTTGGGATTATCAGTTCTATGTGGAATTTCTCAGGCACATGTATCACCCAGACGCACTCCAAGTCGGTGGGGTAGTTTGTGGGGTACCAAGGGCTGGAGAAGGAACCTGAGAGATTTGAAATCACTCCTCCACAAGAGTTACTTCCTCCTGTAAAAGCAGATGAGAGACCCATGGTTGGTTTCTTTAGGCACACATGTTGCATTTTTCCAGATGTAGAATCCAGAATTCCATCAAGCTCAGCAGTGGAGTCACTAAATGGGGAATGATCACGCTGATGTAAACACAGTTGTGGCTTGGCTGGTGTGAGTGATTGTGCCACTGAGAGGGAATGAGGGAGGATGGAAGATGTATGATGGACAGGCAGGACCCTACAATTGATTGTGAGTGATATTGGAAATGGGATTGGACACATGCATGTAGTGTGTGTGTGTAGTGGGGGCAGCCTGTACTTCTTTAATGCTCTCTCCCGTCTCCTGCCTTGCAAACCAGTTCAGCTCAGATATTGACAACGCACCCATTTGTGAGGGCTCCATGCCACCCATTGCCCTTGTAGTAGCCAGGGCACACAGAAGTCCATTCTGCTTTTATGAATTATAAAAATAATTATCTGTAACTTAATACTGTATAGGTTATAGTTTCAATGAAAGAGAGTTACCTTGTGGTATAGGGGCTGGAGGAATGATATCTGCAAAAACCAAAACCATAGAAAATCAAGAGAGAGCTTAGCATCATAAAACCATCTTATACTTAAGCACAAATGAATGAGACTATTTTTACCCTTGAGCTTTAATAAATGGTGTAGACACTTATTTCTCTTTTCTCCCTGATCTGGAATGGAGCCTCTGCCCTTCTTTCAGCTGACTCATGAGAAAATCACCAACCACACACAGTTACATGACTTGTTTTCTCTCATATGCTAGGTTCCACAATCCAAGGGCTATCCTTGGGTTGACCAGTTACTAGGAATTACAGTGACATCACTGGGCTTATGACCATACCACTAAGCCTGTAGAAATTTACCAAGTACTGAAATTCAGAAAACTGAAAACCAGAAAGCTGAGAGCCAGGGTGGAGAAAGGCAGGTTGGATAAGTGTTCCATTGGAGAAAGATGGACCTTAATGGGGAGGTCCAATGAGTGCTTAAGGTCCCTTCTTTTTCCTTTATTGTGTCCTCTTGGCTTTGATTTCTATGTGGCATACACAGTTGTCCCTCAATATCTATGGGGGATTGGTTCCAAGACTCCCCAAGGATATCAAAATCTGTGGACGCTCAAGTCTCATATAAAACAAAGGAGTATTTGCATAGAACCTATGCTCATCCTCCATTATACTTTAAATCATCTCTGGATGACTTATAATACCTAATACAATGTATTATAACACTATGCAAATAGTTGTTACATTGCATCATCCAGGGAATAAAGACACGAAAAAAGTCTGTACATGTTCAATACAGATGTAACTAAATATTTTCGATCCACAGTTGGTTGAATTCACAGATGTGAGATCATGGATACAGAAGGCCTGCTGTACATCTATATTCTATGTGTGTCCTCAATACCTTCTGCATAGCAGGTGCTGAGGGGAGGGCAGCCATGAAAGCCTGCTCATGAGAATGCTGGTAATTGTTTGGATTTTACACCAAGCGTTTAGTGGGGGAGGAATTTGAAGCAAACATGTCAGATGTACTTGAGAATTCCTTTATTCCCATTGTCTTGCTCCTTGGCCAGCACCACAGCAAGGTGCAGAGCGGTGAAAGTAATGGACACGGTCAACTTACCTGTCATTAGTCCTTTGCCAGAAGAAGTGTAGTATATCACTGGAATACATTTTTCACTAAAAGTGGCTCAGAAGCAATTTTCTTTTGTTAAAATGCTTGATATGCAATATTTATCTCAGAGTATTAAATGGCAAAAGCCTCATATTTTTGTGTCTTGGTAGGTATACAATGTTCTATCAATAAGAATTTTTTTTGATTCATGCTCACAGTGGGATACCATTTAGACATAGGTGGTTGCATTTCCCTCCATAGTTTCCTTAATCCCATGACCCATTCTCTTTTCCAGCCAGCTACGCATCTCTGCCTCAGAAAATGGATATTACAGCAGAGAGAAGACAGAAAGGCTTTCTGAGATTTGAAGCCTCAGGCTCCAAGAGGACTTGGGCCTAGAGCTGTTGATGAACTGAAAACCATCCCCTCTCCTCCTGCTGTCTTTTCCTCCTCCCAGGGCCCAGGCCAGAACAGACTCCTCACTGGGGAAGAAGAGGAAAGCCAGAGGGAATCAAAGAGAGTGTAGCTGCTTGTTAAACCCAAGAAAGCGTTCTGTGCGCTCTGCCTCCTCTCCAGAGCTCCTCTCCAGAGCAGCTACATAATCATGGGTCTCAGTGCAAAATGAAAATGTGGGGTCCTGGCCAGGAGTGGGGAAATCACTTTCCCCTTCCTACAGGTTACTGCCCCAACCCATGGCAGCTGGGCATCCCACAAGGAATGGGGGTCTCCATCTTGGGACACACTTGGGACCTGGAATGGAATGGGCAAGAGACCTCCACAGAGTGTCCTGGCAAGTGTGCCATGGTTCTGCCAGCCCAGGATAGGGACAGCTGCCATCTACCTTGTTGGGCCCTGAAATGCCACAAAATGCATCCCTGACCCCGATAGCTTCCTAGTGTCCAGGCCCCTCCTGGGGGCAGAGTGTGGCAGCAGTCACTGGGCAGAGTTAAGGAAGAGGCTGGGCAGGGCCCAGAGGCCCAGGGAGCAGAGAAGGGGGCAGCTGAGAACCCTTCCCCGGGAAGCAGGAGGCTGCAGGAGGCAAGACCCCACATGCTTCAGAATCTTGAGTTCGGGAGAAGGTCACTGCTACACATTGACTTTGAGTAGATTACCAGTAAGTCCACTCTGCTATGTTGGCTAAGCCAGGAGACCCACGGAAGAGCCGTAAATGGTTTACTTCTCGTCAGCAGTCTGCTTTTGACTCACTGGGAGACAGTTTGGCATCTGATGTATCTTTTCTTTCCTGCATACTTTCATTTTCTAACCCATGTCCCTAAGAGACAACATTTCCAGGGTCTCTCGTCTCCCTATTGACCTTCTTCTCAGCCATAGTGACTCAGTCTTTCTCCATCTTTCTCCTCCTGCCCTCCCTTGCTCTGCCACTAGAAGGCGGTTTTGGATATGAGTCCATTTGGGAAATGTGGCTTTTAGCTCCTTGCCTGAGCACTGGTTCTCCACCTTGGCTGCACATTGGAATCACATGGGGAGCTTCAGATATCACTGATGGCTGGGAGTGACCTCAGAGACTCTAAGGTGACAGGTCAGGGATGCAGCCTGGGCACCAGGAATTTCAAAAACTTTCTGAGTGATTCTAGTGTGCAGCCAGAATTGGGAACCACCAGCCTAGTCATTGTCTACCAGTGTCTAGGTCAGGAGAGAGGTTACTTTTTTTCTTTAACTTTGCCAAGATAGTGCAAATTTAGTGTTGGTTCTACCTGGGGGTGCAGGAGTCACATCTGGAGCCCAGTCCCCAGCATCTGCATGCATACAAGAAAAATTTAGATTAATCTAACTTACATTCTATGAACACAAAGAAATGGTGACTTTCTAGTGTGGGCAGTTCTCAAGCAGGCAGGTCCCATGTTACATAAGCAAAAATGAGGGCATGGTTAGACCTGGAAAAGCAGTTCCAGAAATGGGAGAGGTGCAGAGAACAGGGGCAGCCAATTGTGTGGCTCTGCTGTGTTTGTCCTCAGAATGGAGCCAGGCTCACAGCATTCTCTGTCTACCTGGCCAAAGGGACATTCATCTGTTGGGCCACTGTCCCAAAATTCCCTGGCCCCGCTCCGTGCATGGCCTTCATCCATCACTAGGATGTCTTTGGGTGAAAGATCAGAAACAAGCTATCATGGAAGGAGAGGCTACTTGAGCAGTCGACACTGGCATCCTCATGATGGCTGCAGTTGTCGTCTGACCAGCCAGAGCTGGGGCACTGGCCAAGGTAGTTCTCACTTCCTGAACACTGAGTGTTGTCTAGAAGGATGTCTCCAGAGCCTGGGCCAAAGTGGGCCTTTCCAGGAGCAGCAATGGCCCAATCACACCCGAGCTGCAGGCATACAACCTCAGCTTCATTCAGATCCCACAGGTCACCACAGACAGCGCCCCAGGAGCCCTTGTGTAGGACCTCCACATGTCCTGAGCACTGGCCAGAGCCACCCACCAGCCACAACTCTGGTCCATCTTCTAAACAGAGCAAGATTTTATTTTTGAGTTTGATAAGTTTTAGGTAGCAAGTGATTTCTAGCTTCTGTGTTTGTGGCTAAGGCAAACACAAGAGCAAAATCTTAAAGCTGAATGATTTAATCAGGCTTAAGGGCTTCAGAGTGAGACAGGAAGTGGGTCTGAATTCTTGTTCTATGGCTTCCTAGTTGTGTAAACTTTGATAGGTGACTGTCTCCCTGAGCCTCAGTTTTATCACCTGTAAAATAAGGACTCTAGCAGCATCTAGAGGGGATGCTACCAATGAGAGTGTGGTCAGCACCCAGCACGTCAGGTTTACTGCAGATCTTGACATATGGTTTTTGTGTCACAATGCCGCGTTATGGGACAGCAGGTTCCCAGCTGCCTTTTTGTATATGTCTTGGATAAGGGTAGATTTAATCCCCTGAAAGGCACCTGGACCACAAGGGTGACTGTGACTTCAGAAAACACAGTGGCAATGCTCTATCTGGACTGAAGGGCTGTGGCCAATTAGAGTTATCTGCTATCTCTGGAGGCACTGTAAGGACAGCGTCCCCTTACTGTGTCCACTGACTCTGTTACTTTGGCCTTCTTTCTGTTTCTCCAACATGCCCAACTCTTTTCTCTGCCTGTAATGCTTTTCTATGTCATTCATCACATGCCACGTCTTCAGAGATGCCATCTGTTCTCATCCAGCCCACAGTAGCACCTACTCCACTCCAGGAATCTTCTACTTTCCCACCTGGCTCCTTATTCCCAGTCTTCACCTCTGTCCTTTATCATCCTTACCCCAAAACCAGTTTGTTTATTTCCTTGTTTATTGTGTTTTGATCCTCTCTCGCTTACCCACGTCCACACTAGAGTATAAACTCCAAGAGGGCAGGGAGCTGTACTGTGCTCCCACACTTACAACTGGACCTGGTATATAATAGGACCTCTGTAACTATTGCTGAATGGCTAAATGGTGGTCTTGAGTTAATGAGTGTCTGTATTTCAAATGTTGGAGCTTACCTTGCTTCTCCAGGGCAGAGTTTCAAACATTGCTTTGAGGGTGAAATATGTAAGGAATTTCCTTACTCAGATACAAGCAAACCCCAAACCACATCCAGGGACTTACTATCTGACTTTCTGGTGGCCTAAAAGAATTACTGGGGTTTCTGCAGGGGCGGCCCCTCAACATCAGAAGTCTCACAGTTGGCAGGCAGTGTGCTTGCAGTGTGCAAATTGGACCTGGCTTTGGAATGACTGCCTGCAGGGTCATGGCTAACAGGAATCCCCAAGCCTCTCATTTGGGTGAGACTAGGTTTCAATGTATGCAAGGTGTAAAATGGGCCAGCTAGTGGAGGAGGTGGAGTCTTGTCACACGAGTGTTGCACTTCCACATTTCAGCACTCCGGACAGTTCCCAAGAAGCTGTGGATAGTAGATGCAGCCCCAAGACCCTTTATAGCAACCAGCTTTTGCCTGCAGGCAGTAGCAGCCTGGCCACTCACACACAGAATGCACATGACTGCCTCATTGTAGCTCCCATGTGGCCTCATGTTGGGAAAATCTAGCAACTATAGAGTAGAATTAATGAAGCCAAGTGTGGGGGTCTTAAAAGACTGAATCCCAGAGCTCTACTGGTAAGGGATTCTCTGAAGTTAGAAGCTGTTCTGTCTTTTAACCACCAAAAACTACTTGAAGTTTTCTACCTGACTGCCTTGCACCCTGCGGAATGGCATTGAAAAGAGCATAAAAGCCAGTGTTGGTTTTCATGGAATCACTTTGGAACACCACTGTCATGATGTGTGAGGAGGAGAAGAAGATCACAGTTTCAGGGGCACAGAACTTCCCCATGGAGAGTGAGGCAATCCTGGGACCATTGAAGATTTCAACGGAGTCATAGGGACATCCAGGGATATCTTCCAGCCTGGGTTGAATAGACATGGAGGGGTAGTGGCAGATTAGAAACTTCCTAGAATTTAATGCTAAAAAAGTGTGACAATCATAGAGATTAACTATTTGGATTATATTTAAATTGCACACTGAAATGTAAAATATTAATTAATTTTTTTCAGATGACCTATCACAACTCTGTTTTCTTTGGCTAAGGAATGTGTGGGGCTTTCAGCTACAATATTGTAGCAGAATTTTTAAAATTATAATGGTTTTGGCCAATCATAACCTACCTAGGAAATACTATTTTACTATTAGGAAATACTAGTTTACACTGCAACTAAATTCATAACAGTCAGATCACCCCAATGATCAGCATGTAACAGACATCACAGCCAGATTTTTCCTACTTCTGTATTTCAGAATAATTGCCATACTCGAATTCTTGGGTAGGAAAAAACTTGATTTCAAAATAAAAGTGGTGACAGGATACAGAAGAATATTTGTAGTATGGCAATTATTCAGGAGGAAGGTAAGGGGAAGCAATTTTGAAGGAGCAGACAATGGATAACATAATAGAATTTGGAGGTGTGGGTTAAAGGTCCTTACCTCATTGTGGCTAATTATGTCCCTAGGGTTTTAGTCAACAAATGTAACATGTCCTGAGGCATTTTTGGCTTAGTGCACGGTGGTGGTATAGTCATTATGGAACACAATTCATTGCATGCCTGGAGCTAATGATCATGGAATTCCACAGTCTTGCTGTGTTTGTAACATGATGTGTGTCATGCACAAGAAGAAGGGCTTCATGCAGACTCTTTTACAGACCCACATATTGGTGAACAGATGGGGCACTGACATCAGACAGATCTAGATGGGCTGGCCTTGGGCAAATTAATTATCCTCTCTGAGTCTCAGGCTCCTTATCTCTAATGGAGATGACAAAGACATCTATCTTTGGACTGTGTAATCCTGGAATATGACAAAGCATACAAAGTCTGGGCCAGCATCAAAATGTCAGCTGTTATTTTATGTCATAGAGATAAAAATGTCAGTGACTTTGTAATATTTATTCTCTTTATGTCAGAGATAAGGCAGTGACACCAATGTCTCCTCTTACTTTGCAGAACATTTGGAAGATGCAGGTCCCAAAGCTGGAGTGGTTGGCTAATGTGTGTATGAAAATTCTCTTACTGTTTAAAATTTGGATTCAAATAAGAAAGTCTCAGAGGACAAATACTGATACCCAGTGTACAATAAGGGCAAAGCTGTTGAGGATTTTTGTGATATTTTTAGAAAAAAAAAAGAAACACTATCAAAATATGTTAATAAACCACTTATTGGATTTTTCAACTTAGAAGTAACTCATTGGATAGTGCCACAGAGTTAACCCAAAATTTGACTTGGAAAGACTATAGAATGTTGGGTTCTTCTGCTTTCACTCTTAAATGTTTCCACTAAAAGAAATACCTTTAATATGATTTCACAAATCAATATTCTTATTTACATAGAACGTTCTCTTTAAAAGTTTTCTTACTTCAAACCTAGAATTATGAGTTCTATGCGAAATTTTGTATCCACGTGGATCTCCCAAACACACTGGATGTCTGTTGGGTAGTTTTCTGGATACTGTGGACTAGAAAATAAGCCAGAGAGACTAGAAGTGACCCCTCCACAAGAGTTACTTCCTCCTGAAACAACAGGAAAAATGGTGTCAGAATGTGTTCATTTGGCATCACTGTGTACTCCTAATAAAGACCAGCTTACACTCAGTGGTCTGGTGGAATGAGGCGCCATTGGCCTGGGTGGGCATGCACAAGCGATCTGAGCAGACATTTAGCTTAAATGTTTCTTGGGAAGGAGAGTCTATTCAATCTAATTCTGATGAAGCAAAAAGCATCAATGTGTGAAAGTTCCCTGCTTTTCCCTCTCTCTCAGCACCTGATAAAGAAAATGTCCAATTTGTCCTTTCTGCTTACAGTTTTCTCCCCCTCTCTAAAGTAGGGGTTTTGCTTGCTGGGGAGGGACAGAGTAATAAGAGACCAGAAGGAGAGATGAAGAAATAGAGGCCACATGTGCTTGGGAAAGGGGAGAGTTTGGGGAGGTTTGGGGAGCAAGAGGTTCTAGAACAACTTTGGGTTCTGATGAATCGTAGGTAACGGGAAAGGGACACTGATCTGTTAGGGGATGTTATGACCAGCACCTTCTTTAAGTACTCTTCCTCACTTTTGCTCGGTAGATTATGTTTCCTTTAACTCAGATATTTAGTCTGAGACTGGAACTTGCAGGATTTTGGATTTATAAGGGTTAAACAAGATAACAGTGAAATCTAATAGTTTGATGTACGTTGTCATATTAGCATAGACAGATACACACACATCCATGTATGTATTTAAAACAGGATTTCACACAAAGAAGCAGAAAACCTTGAATCATCAAAGTATTTTAGAGGAAATGTGAAAGTACAATATTCTTTATTGACCTTGTCCCTAAACTATGAAGATGCTTAACTTTTCTACTTTCTCTTCCCCTTGGCCAACTTGTGATCCTCCCAGAATCCCACAGATTCCTGTCTTTCCTGAGATGGATGGCAGGAAGCGATGATGCTCCTAGTCATCTGGTAGTTTTATCACTGACTGCATTTGTAAGCTACAATAATGAGGCCAGGCGGGCTGACACTGAAACCTCTGGGAGTTTGACCTTCTGAAGTCTCTACATGTGGCAGGGGATAATGGACTGGTGCCTTCTACAGGACTGTACCCAAACAGGGCAGGCTGAGTATGGACCAGATGTCTGACCTGGGCAGATATACATCCCGCTTCCCAGCCTGATCCTCTTGTTGTAAAGTCACTATTTTTCACAGAGTATATTACACAGAATGGCAGCAGAGAAGCAGACCCCTTGCCCACACTGTGCCAGGCTCCATTGTGAAATGTCCTGGGCACACTGCCCAGCATTTGCCATGATAGTTCTCTTGACATGGAATGACTATTTCAATTTAAAATAAATGACTACCTTTGATGTGATCCTGAGAAGCTGTAGAAGAACCTGAAAGGGAAAAAAAGGCAGATAATGATGACATCCAGATGAAAATATGTAGTCTTATTTACAAATCAGTGAAATGTAAAGGGTTTCCTTAGAAACATCAATATACTTAGTGCAAACTGAGGAGAGTTTGCACTGAAAGTGCTGAGTGAATGTTTCCTGTGGTTCTGTGGCAGGTAAGAGAAGGCCACAAATTCTCAGACATGCCTCCTGTCACAGGTGGGGTCTAAGTTCCCTCCCTTGAACTTGGGTGGGTTCTGTGACTGCTTTGATGAACAGAATATGGCAGGAATGGCTCTGCACGTTAAGAGACTGGTGGCTTCCACCTCCCATCTCTGGGAAAACTGACTTGCTCATGTAGCCCTGGGCCACCTTACAAGAAGTCTGAGTGTGACCAGGTGTGGTGGCTTACGCCTGTAATCCCTGCACTTTGGGAGGCCAAGGCGGGTAGATCACCTGAGGTCAGGAGTACGAAGACAAGCCTGGCCAACATGGTGAAACTCCCTCTGTACTAAAAATACAAAAATTAGCCAGGCATGGTGGCGGGCGCCTATAATCCCAGCTACTCTGGAGGCTGAGGCATGAGAATTGTTTGAACCCGGGGGATGGAGGTTGCAGTGAGCTGAGATTGCGCCACTTCACTCCAGCCTGGGCAAAAGAGCGAAACTCCATTAAAAAAAAAAAAAAAAAAAAAAAAAAGTCTGAGTGTGCATGGTCTCTCAGCAGGGTAATCAGACTTCTTGTAACCTGAGACCACCTAAAAAGGAAGAGGGCTGTGGCTGAGCCTGTCCTTCCAGCCGACCCCACCAAGGCACCAACCGTATGAGTGAAGCTGTCTTGAATTCTCTAGACTAGTCATCAGATGAACTCCACTGAGCAACCTTGCTCAATGCTCTGTGGAGCAGAAGGGTCTCCCAGCTGAGCCCTGCTTGAATTCCTGATCCTCAAAGACATGGCATACATCTAAATGGTGGTTGCTTTAAATTGCTAAGTTTTGGGGAGCAATAGAAAACCAGAATGGCTCCTTTCACTCAATCTCATTTTTCTCATTTCCCTGCCATCCATAAAATGAGAAAACTACAGATCAGTCTTCATTGGAATATCCACTGCCCTTGACCCTAACCATGACCCTTTAACTTTAGACAGTCCCTCCCTTCTCACTCGTGGTCCCAATAGGTAAATCTGGCCTTCCCCCAAGAACACCAGGACACATCGAGGTCTTCTCCAGGCAAGTTCCCAAGAGAGATGCTTCTGCCAATGGCTGGTGGCTTGTCTTTGTTTACTGAGGCTGTGTAGGGGACAGCCAGGTTCATTCAAAGGGCAAGAGATGGCTTTGTAAATTCCAGTCCTGCCACTTTCTAACCAAGTTATCTTCAGCAGGTTTTTGATCTCCCTGATCCTCAACTGTGAAATCACCTTTCAATCACCTTCAGCATCATTTCAGAATTCGCAGTGCATGTGGTTGGTCTGTTTTTTTCTAATATTTGGTTTTAATTACAGATGAATATTAGCCAATAATTCAATTATAAGATCTTTGAAAAGAGGCAAAAGTCATAAGATCCCTAAGAGCATGTACTTTGGGGCCAGACTGATCAGTGTCAAAATTTGGGTCATTAACTTGTTGAGTGATCCTGAGAAAGTTACTTAACCTTTCTGTGTCTCAATTTTCTCTTCTGTAAAATATAATAGATAATGCCTTTTTGCAGGATTGTCCTGATGATTAGCAATGATCTGAGCAAAACGTCTCCCCATGTTTACTGTAGTTTCCCCTGGTCTTTCTGTAGCTGAGCCAATGAATGGGTAAATGAGATTGATGGCCAAGAGCATCGACAGGTTGGGTTCAGATACCCTGGCTAGCCCTGGGTACCTCGCTAATGTTCTCTGTCTCAGGTTATCTGGAAAATACGAATAATCCAAGAACTCGCCTCAAGGGGCTATTGTGGGGATTGCAAGAGTTATATAAGTGAAGGGCTCAGAACAGTGCCTGGTTCTTAGCACTTATAGGTATTTGCTGCTATTATTATTATTATTATTATTATTACTGAATTAGAAAACAATATGGACATACCTGGTGGTGTGGGTGGAGGTAGGTCTTCGGTATCTGAATGCATAAAGAAAGGTAACAAGTTAATCTATTTTGGGGTGACAAGGTATAGAAACCCAGAGTACCAGAACTACCCCTTGGGTAACTTCAACCCTCCTCTGTCAGGGTCCTTGGCCTAGGAGGCTGGGGAATAGCAGCTGGGTCAACTATGCCCCTTGGCAGCCAGGGCTCTTGCCCTTGGCCCTTCTTATGCAGAATCCCTGGACTACTTGTTGAGATGCATATTCCAGAGCCCCTTTTCTACTTAGTCATAATATCTGGGGGCAGGACCCTAGAATCTACATTGTAGTGCCCAGGTGGTGCTCATGCCAAATAATTAGAGACCTCTCCCCTGCAACCAGAGCTGCCCATGGCGTCCAAAGGAGATGCTTGAGAAACAGGTAGACACATGGATGGATGGATGGATGGATGGATGGATGGATGGATGGATGGATGGATGGATGGTTGGTTGGATGAAAATGCCACCCAGGATGCAGAGTTTCAAAATGTCACAATTGCAGCATCAGAAATCACTGGCTGAGAAGGGAGAGGATACCTGAGCAGATGACACTGGCATCCTCATGGTGGCCACAGTTGTGCTCTGACCAGCCCAAGTGGGCACACTGGCCCAGGTTGTGCTCTACCCCAGAGCACTGGAGATTGTCCAAGAAGATGTCTCCTGAGCCTGGGCCAAAGTGGGCCTCGCCAGGGCCAGAAACAGCCTGCCCACACCCCAGCTGCCGGCACACAACCTCGGCTTCGTTGAGGTCCCACAGGTCGTCGCACACGGTGCCCCAGGCACCCTGGTGGAGAATCTCCACGCGCCCCGAGCACCGGCTTGAGCCGTCCACCAGCCGCAGCTCCGGCCGGTCTTCTGCAGACAAAGACACAGCATGTGAGTTCCCAAAAGACCTGACCTGGGTCCACCAGTGCCAGCTCAGAGACGGTTAGGGAGGAACATTCCCCAGTCTTAAGCCTTGGGGCTTGTTCCTTAGATTTCTCACGTGTTCCTGAGTTGCAGGTTGTGAGGTCTTCAGTCAATTTAATTTCATTTTAAGTACTCATTGATTGTCTTTTATGTTAGGGACTGATGATACAGCTCTAAACCAGAGATGTGATTTCTGTCCTCAGGGAGCCCAGAGTCTATTTATTAGTCAAATGCAGGCACTGCTACAGTGCACCATTGCACACTGTGATAAATGGGCCAAAGAGGGGAAAAACAGGATGCTATGAAGGGAACAACAGAGAGTAAGGGCCTGGAGGACACCTCTTTAAAAAGTGAGAAGGAGCTAGTCAGGGGAAGAGCTGGGAAAGTGGCCTGAACCAGAGGAATATCATATGCAAAAAGGCCATGCATCTCCAAAAAATATAGACTTACACACACACATATCATCATCATCACACGTAAAAAATCAAAAGTATTTTTAAATAAGACTTTCTAATAGAATCTCAGTGGTGTGAAAATCCTTGCAGTTTAGATAAAGAGTGAACTTAGAACTGAAAAAACAAATAGCTTAAGGACAAAATCAAGAACATCTGATATTTAACTCCCAACAACAAAAGATGTGACTGACCTGTACTGTTAGCGAGTGATTCTTCAGCATCTGTTTATAGAGAGAATAAGAATGTCACTATTTTTTGGAAACCTTGACCTTAACAATGGAAGATAAAGCTTTTAGTTCCATCATTATATGTGTTTATTAATCTGATGTGGGAAAAATTGGTCCTTTTAAAAAACATAGTACTGGGAGAAGCAGATTCATCTGTAGATAATGAAAGTAAGTTTCTCTCTGGTTGTTGGTTTGTACCAAGTTATGTAAAAATGGCCAGATGCAAAGGTACATTTGGAATGATCTGACTTAAACCATCAACTCTGTAGCAGGTGAGTTTCACTTTGGGCATATTTGGGGGGACTTCAGATTTAGACAGTCATCCTCTGGAAGATTGAGACGTGGGAATAACATCTACCCAGGAGACTGTCACGAGGATACACGTCACTCATGATAAGACGTCACAAAGTAAAGAGGCAAATGAATGTACCAACACGTAAGACAATGTTTTTAAGTATGCACCTCAAATTAAAGGTCATGGTTAGCAGGTACTGACATGCAATTGAGCTGCTTTTCACATGGGCAACTCTATGCAGCAAGCCCTCCTACTTTGAGTTCTGATTCCTGATTTTTTCAAGTCACATCAGGTATTACAGCTGTCAGTTTACCAAAAGGCATCTCATTATTAGAAACGATTATTAATAGACAATCCAGAGGTGGCTAACTTACTCATAGCTAACTGTTTATACACAAGAAAATCCAGAATATATTTTTAAAATTGTCACAAGCCAATTGAAATAAGTCAGGTTAGTGCACAGATTTCTTTGGTGTTGTGATTGAGTGAGGACATGGCAGTAAGAATTACCAATATGCTTAAGAGAGAGCTTGAGTGTTGCTCACATACAGTCTGTGTGTCAGCATAGGCTCTGGAAGCCAGACTCAAGTGTTCCTGGCTCTGCAGTCCCCCCTAGCCTTGCTACTGAGGGCCGCCTCTTTCAATGAGCTCCTTATTCCCAGCATTAAAAAATTCTCATAATTAAACATGTGATTTGCATATTTCAGTAAAGCACACGTATTACTACCAAATTAGAAAATTAGGTTTTATACTGGAGGCTATCAGAAAAAACCACATCTATTTAACCAAGTTAGAAAAGCTACAGCAAAAATAGAATGCTAAATGTTTGAGGATCCTGTTTTTGTTCCAGGCTGACTCTGAACACTAGCAGGGAAGTTTTGAAGCACTCTGGGACTGGCAGTGCCCATATTAGAGGGGAGAAGGTACCTGAGCAGATGACACTGGCATCCTCGTGGTGGCCACAGTTGTGCTCTGACCAGCCCGAGTGGGCGCACTGGCCCAGGTAGCGCTCCACACCAGCGCACTGGAGGTTGTCCAGGAAGATGTCTCCTGAGCCGGGGCCAAAGTGGGCCTTTCCAAGGGCAGACACGGCTCGACCACACCCAAGCTGCCGGCACACAACCTCAGCTTCGTTCAGGTCCCACAGGTCGTCACACACGGTGCCCCAGGAGCCCTGGTGGAGAAGTTCTACGCGTCCTGAGCACCGGCCAGAGCCACCCACCAGACGTAGCTCCGGCCAATCCCCTGCAGAGAGAGATCCGCTAACTGTTGTCCTCTGGGGGCAACACCCTTCCCATGAGTGTTGAGCTCCCCACCCCATGCTACTTCTACTAGTGGAAAACCTTGTACTTGGTCAACTATTCAACCTCTTAGTTGGAAGTTGCAAAGCCATTAGGATTGTCTGTAGCACTAGAAGTCCACTAATTGAGTATCTATTTTTCCAGAGGTATGTGCCCATTTGTTTTGGCTAAGTGCAGAAAAACAAATAATTTGCACAGTGATTTGTGATTTTACAAAGTGTGTGGTGCATGTGTGTGTGTTCACCTCCATCTTTATAATAACTCAGGAAGGTAAAGAAGAGTATTGGTGTACCAATTTTATCTATGAGGAAACTGAAAGTTGGAGAAGCAAAGTGGTTCACCCTCGGTCCCACATCTGGTAAGCAGCAGATGTAAAGTCAGATCTCCTGGTTCCAAAGTTCACGATTTTTTCTCTGCTATTCTATCTCACTGCCTCTGCAATGGCTCTGACACTCCACTTACTTTGCTAAAGTCTATTGGTGATGCGGATGGGGAGCTAACTGTGATCAGTACTGGTCATAAGGTGGAAAGACAGAACCCCACTAGAAAGTACTTGTAAGCTGCTCAGGCTTTGATGACCCTGAAAGGTACCAAAAAATGAACTTCACTCATCTTGGGATGCTAGAGCGAAAAGACCCCAAATGTTTTGAATGGCTCTAAAAGTTTGGGCAGAGTCAAGTGTCCCGTTTGCAAATAGATGAACTATTTGCAGTCGGTCCAGTTTCTGTGCATAAGCAGATACAGGTGCAGATACAAATGCAGGTGCTGAGAGGAAAGGACACACTCAGTAAATGAATGAATACATTTCAGGGCTTACCTGCTCTTGCTGTTACTGTTGTGGGTGTTGCTATCGGGATGGCTGTGGATATAAGAAGACTCCCATGATTAAGAAGGGATGACTTAGGCAAGTCAAGAAGGCAGCATTCTGAGATCAGTCTTCAGTAAATGCCAAGATTCTGGCTGATTCTTTTTCCCTGCAATCTTCATAACATGTGACCTCCCAAATCAAACTCTGTTTTCATGTGGGTCTTTATGTTTCTCACGTGTGTGAGGTCCAACAAAAATAATATTCTCTTTTTCTGCTCAGTTACCATAAATATAACAATATTTAAATTGTGCTATTCTATGCAAAAATGCAAACAGTCACAATCAGTGTCCTTCTGGGGAAAATAGCTGTTTCTTCTGCTTGCTTCTGCCTTACTAACTTTCCCTAAAAGTGGAGTATCTGATTAGGTGAGTCATTGGCTTTGATAAAAACAAAAAAGGAGATCAAATAAAAAATTATCAATATACAGAGACTCAATCATTGATAGGCATAACTTGGTTCCAGTGTAAATGGGCATCATATTTATGCAAAAACTGTGCAGACAGAATCTCTCATCTACAGAAGATTTATACAGGGAATTTGGAATCATCTACGAGAGACAGAGCAAATAATGAGAGTAAAAGCACTGGGAGAGGGGACACAAGAAGAAATCAGGGAGTACAATTTGAGTAATAGCATGAATGCGACTCACTGATTAGATGTGGAGTCTGCGACACTGCCTCTGCAAATACAAGGAAATACATCGTCAATAGTCGTTTAACGCGGATTATGGTGATTTGTCATGATCTACTTTGGTACATAGAGCATCTCCTTTGTGTTTTATAGCATGTTCCCAAAGCTTGCTCAGTGAGTCACCCTGGCACTTGGTAAAATACAGGAGACTGTTTTGAACAATGTCTTGGAAAAAGTGGATACTAGTTATTTGCAGTTTCATGAGCTCTGCCCGTTTTCTCTTAGTGGTGAATAATGCAGGACCTCAGATAATTACTGAAACTCCTAAGTCTCAGTTTCCTAATCTGTAAAAGGGGAAGAATCATGGGTCTGTGTGAGGATAGCATATGTGAAGTGCTTAAAATGCTGCCTGGCATATAATAGGGATTCAGTAAGTGTTAGCTGTTATTTTGAGCATTTTGATCACTGTTGTTGTTATTATTGCCTAACCCTGAGTACCCTGCACTTCAACAGGCAGCCTTGGCTTGGTCCATCTGCCTTCTTGCTTTCTTGCCACCCACTTTATATATCCTATCTCTAGGCCATACTGTTCCCTCACCTGATGTGCTGTGTCGCTTTCTCTAACTATAGCCTAACCAGCTTTACAGGCCGTTTCCCCTCAGTGTTTCCTTAATACTTATAACCTATATTGCACTCTCTCTCTTTCCTAATGTCTTTTGCAGAGTTGCATGCATATGTCAATTTAGTATATTCTGGTATATTTATCTGTCCTATTGTTTGCCTTCTTCTAGTGTTTCTATCTGTCCTTTTGTTTGCCTTCTTCTAGTGTTTCTATTTGTCCTCTATGCACACCCCATGTATTTGCCTTAAACTTCCTCTTGGTTGTACTTGAGCCTCTCTCAGGCTAGGACTACAGTTTCTTCTGCAGGTCCTAAAACACCTACCTAGTACTAGATTCAGAGTAACTTCAGAAATGACTTTCTAATTGACTGACTGTGATGAGATGTTTAGGTAAAATGAAAAAGCTAACGATAAAGCAGCCCATTATCAAACATTTATGATGTGCCATCACTTTGCAAAGTGTTTTACTTACCTAATTGCATGCAAACCTCACAATAAACCTGGAAACTAAGGGTCCCTTGTTGTCCCCATTACACAGGAAAGGAATTGAGGCTGGGAGAGATCAAGTTGCTTGCCCAAGGTCACAGAGTAAGGATGATAGGACAGTGACTGGCACCCAGCCAGAGAGTCCAGCTCTGGAACTGCTGCTTTTTACCACTATTCTTACCTTTGGGTGCAGAATAATAATAAGCAATGAAGTTTTTTCCTAGGTTATTGAAGCTTCGGAAATACACGAGGGTCATTGAGCTGGAGGAGGATATGTAGGTGGGGCGGAAGCCAGAGCAGGTCCTCCCCAATGACTTTGCTGAGGATGGAGGACCGTCTAGGATTTCAAAATATTCATTGGTGCAGTTGAGACTGGGGAAGCAAACACCATGGATGCCTCTCAGTTTCCTCATTAGAAGACCTTAGAGGCATGCTATGAGACAGATTCTTCACTTCATTACTACAAAGATGTTGACGATAGAGTAAAAGCGTGGCAATCATTTAAACATAGCATGGGTTCCTTTGATCCTACTTTTCCTCTCTAAGAGCCACTGCTTTAAGGGAATGGGATTTTAATTGGAAGAGGAAAGAGGAGGCTGGCACAAAATGTGCCCCTGGAAGCAGCCCAACCGGCAGAGTACTTCACAGCTTAGGGCCAAGGGCAGGGCCTGGGAAATCAAGGCAACTTCACCATGTGGTGATTGGGGGGCCCAGGAACAGGGAGAGGCTGCTTGCTTCTCATGGGCCTGCCGGTAGGACATGGCTCCAAGTTGTAAATAATGCATTTACAAGTGTTTGGCAGCAGACCCACCCAGAGGAAAGTGGGCTGCCAAATCTTCCCAGCTTGCTTTGTGGAAGTTATCTGATTTTGTCAGCTGCTGTTTTTTACTGTGATGTTTTCTTCAGATGTTGCCAGTGCTAGAATCCGAAAATCACTTTCATACTTCAATCTGATGAGCCATCTGTTCCAAGCCATATTTCGATTAAACAAAATTCAAGCGTAATAAATGATTTAACTTGTTCTTAGGGGTTAATTTCCACAAGAAATTCATCATGAATTTATCATCTGTGAATTACCATCTAAAACATTAAAACTTAAAATTTCCTGACTTATTAGGTCTGGAGTACCCTAGAATTTATATCTTTAACCAGCAGGCCAGAATACACACACACACACACACACACACACACACACACACACTCTCTCTCTCTCTCTCTCTTTTTCTCTCTCTCTCTCTTTCTCTCCTCTCTGTTTTTCTCCTCTCTCTTTTTCTCTCTTTCTCATGCACACACACTTATCCAAATAATAAAAGGTCAATTTCATTTTAATTAAAAATTCATGAAAACTCATAAAAATCAATTGTATTTCCCTATACTAGCAACAAACAGGTGGACACTAAAATGGAAAACACAGTGTCAATTATAATCACCCCAAAAAATAAAAAATAAAAGAAATACCTAAGTATAAATTTATAAAACATACATAGGATTTGAATGATGCAAATTGCAAATAGCTAAAATATAATACCAAATGCTAGCTATCAACAATGTGGAGAAACTGGATCTCTCATATGTTGTTGGTGAGAATTTGTAATGGTTGTCACTCTGGAAAATAGTTTGGTATGTTTTTAAAAAGCTAAATATGTACTTACCGTACAACCTAGCAATTGCACTCTTGGGATTTAGCCCAGAGAAACAAAAGCTTATATTTACACGAAAAGCTGTGTATGAACATTCATAGAAGACTGATTTGTAAAAGTAAAAGACTATAAACAACACAAGTGTCCTTCAGTGGGGGAATGATCAAACAAATCCTGGTACATCCACACAAATGGAATACTTCTCAATAACAAAAAGGAACAAGCTGTTGATACAACAGTTGTTGGAACAACAACAACAAACCAAATAACTCTATTACAAAATGGGCAAAGGACATGAATGGACATTTCTCAAAAGGAGACACAGAAATGGCTAATGAGTGTATGAAAAAAATGCCCAACATGACTCATCATCAGTAAAATGCAAATTAAAACCACAATCAGATATCACCACATCTGTCTCAATGGCTATTATAAAAAGAAGAAAGATAAATGTTGTCAGTGAGGTGGAGAAAAGGGAACGCTTACACACTGCTGATGGAAACGTCAATTAGTACAGCCATTATGGAAAACAGTATGGATGTTCCTCAAAAAACTAAAGATAGAACTACCACATCATTCAGCAATCCCAGTTCTGGGTATAAATCCAAAGGAATTAAAATCAGTATGCCAAAAAGGTATCTGTACTCCCAAGTTTACTGCAGTATTTCTCACAATAACCAAGATATGGGAACAATCTAAGTGTTCATCAATGGATGAATGGATAAAGGAAATGTATATATGCCCATGGAATACTATTCAGCCTTAAAAAAGAAGGATGTTCTGTCATTTGCAACATGGATGAATCTAGAGGACATTATGCTAAGTGAAATATGCTAGGCGTGGAAAGACAAATACCGCATGATCTCACTTTTAGGCAGAATCTAGAAAAGCCAAACTCATAGAAATAGAGGGCAGAATGATAGTTAACAGAGGCTGGGGGTAAGGGTGGAGGTGCATGGAGAGATAGAATTTGGTCAAAGGGTACAAAGTTTCAGTTAGTCAGGAGGAATAAGTTCAAGAGATACATTGTATGTCATGGTGACTGTAGTTAGCAATGGTAATGTATTGTATGTTCCAAAGTTGCTAGAAAAGTAGCATTTAACTGCTCTTATCACAAAGAAATGGTAAGTATGTGAGGCACCGTGTATATTAATTAGACTGATTTAATCATTCCGCAATGTATACATGTGTCCCAACATACATCCCACCCTATACATATATACAATTATTATCTGTCAAAAACAAAATAAGAAAGTTAAAAAGCTACACAAAGTACGTAAGAAACAGCTTAGGACTTACTCAAGATGTGGAAATGCCAGCAGTATATGATCAGATGCATTCGCCTTGATTTCCCACACACAAGTGATGTTGTCATGCATTTCATTCTGTGGGGGATTCCTAATCGCTCCAGATGAGTTAGTAAAAACGCCACCACACCGAGATTTTTCTAAATGCAGAAATATATTTTACAATTTCAGTTGTTTCATTGTTCAGTTTACTAACTTCGTAATTCACATCTTTTTTTAAAAGTCTTTTTCAAAAAGGATTTTGTTGGTCATTACTTTGTGAATATGTCTTAGGATGTATCAGAAGTTATCAACTAGTCTAAAAAGTCTTGCAAACTTAGAAATTAGGGGATAAATGCATCTGAATTTTGAAACATCTCTCATCTCTTTTGAGAATTCTGCCATCTACATGGGCTTGCTGGAAAGAGCTCTTCTTTTTTTTTTTTTTTTTTTTGTGATGGAGTCTCACTCTGTTCCCCAGGCTGGAGTGCAATCACGTGATCTTGGCTCACTGTAACCTCTGCCTCATGGGTTCAAGCTATTCTCCTACCTCAGCCTTCCGAGTAGCTGGAACTACAGGCACACGCCACGACACCCAGCCAATTTTTGTACTTTCAGTAGAGACAGGGTTTCACCATGTTGGCCAGGATGGTCTTGATCTCTTGACTTCATGATCCACCCGCCTAGGCCACCCAAAGTGCTGGGATTACAGGCATGAGCCACCGCACCCGGCCTGGAAAGAACTCTTATGCAATATCAGCCAGAATGTTTTTCTCTGGCTAGTTGTGGGCTCTGTAGCTTTGATTTTTGTCCAGTCACTAGTAGTAATGAGTAAAGTACTGCTTCAGTTTTCCCAATTAATCTGAGCCAATGTGGAGCCTCTGTGTATATGAAGATGACAGAGTCCATCCACTATCAGTTATAATTTATTCAAATTGCATTCTTAAAAACTCACTATTAAGTACAAAGAAGTTGCCCTTAGTCATCCACTCCTGGAATACCCCTAATACTGATGAGATTTTGTATCTGCCTGTCTGCCCACCTGTCCATTTGTTTCCCCACCCACTTGTCTGTCTGTTCTGCTTCTCTGTCTGTCTATCCATCTGTGTAACATTCAATCCTGAATTAAAGGTCATGCTGGTGGCAATGGAAACAGCTGGCTTTCCTCTATCAGATTATCGGAATGTGTAAGAACTGGACCTACACTCCATTGGCCCTGGTCATTTAGCTGTGTCTAAAAGGACCAGCCAGACTGTCCTTGCAACAGTGGTATTTTAGCCCTTTATCCCCAAGTGGTGCTAGAAAAAGTTAGGAGGAGCTTCTGGAGGCTCAAGGCATAGGCAAGAACAGAAGGAAAAAATGGCAGACGAAAAAGAAAGAATAAAAAAAGAGGATGGAGATTGCAGCGAAGGGGAAAAGGGGAAGAAAAAGAATGTGCTCATCATGGTCTGAGCCCTCTCAAATCATGGCCTTGGGTACCACCCTGGCAACATTGCTGTCTTAACGGCTGCATGCCTGCCCCTCACTCATGGTGTCCATGCTGGGACACCAGACAGCTAGCATCACTTGATTATCTGGACTTCTTTCTTTTACTAGGCAGAAATGGAATTAGAATCATAGGTTTATTGGCCTTTGTTACTCAGCTCTTCCCCCAGAACACAGGTTGAGAGGGGAGAGACCCAGACAGGATAGTAGTACTTTGGCTCAATTTCCTTGAAGGATCACATCAGGGCTAGAGCTAGAAGATGATGATCAAGGTAACAAAGGACACGAAAGTCTCACCTGTGGCCACTCTCCTTGCCAGGACAGCCAATGGGTGACCTGTCAAACACACAAAGGACACGCTTAGGACTTACTTAAGACATGGAAATGCCAGCAGTGTATGGCCGTCACTCGGCACTGAGGTCTGCACCCCTGTCTGCACATGAGAATCCCGAGGAGCTCGCAACAAATACACCATCTGGGCCACCCCTAAATCTACTGAATCAGAGTCTCTGGAGGAGAGGCCTGAATGTGGAGGCAATTTTAATAAGGAGGAGGGAAGAAGCACTGATCTAGATTGTTCCAAGACTTCTTTGATGCATTATTCTCTTGCATATATGCAAATTAGATATTTTTAAATTTGAGGTTTAAGAAACCTGAAGACCCGAAATTCTGGCATCTGGAGCTTCTTCCCAAGTGACACAAGGGTTAAGACTTATGAGGCTGAGCTGTAAGAACAAGAATAAGCACTGAGTCACTGATTCCTCTGATCAGGTGCTGCCCAGAGATGCTGAGTCAGGACCTAAAGATGCTGTGGATTCTCCTTCATGGCCAAACATCTCTCCTGCCAGTGACACTCAGCTCAGCACCTCCCATTGGAGACCAAATCCGTCTCACTTGCTAGAGCTGACAACCCAGGAGGGAATGTGAAGGAATTTTACTAGACCTTGTCAAATCAGCTTTGTTCATAACTCGCCCTCTGACTGAGAGCTGGTTGAGACCAGGGCATCAAAGAACCCGGGGGTCTGATGAGGGAGAGGGCACTGGCATGGAAAACTCTGGGTGCTGGGGTTGGGAGTGCATGGAAAAGCCAACAGCAATGGAAGCTCCTTGAGGCCAGGGCTGTACCAGAAAGGCCGAGACAAGGAGGGAGTAGAAATGAAGTGGCTCACTTTGTCCAGAACTGGTCCACTGGCCATTTGCTACTGAGCAGGAGGTGCTTTTACCATCTCTCATCTCTTAATGGCCTCCCACCCATCCATTTCTCACTGCCATCCCCTCTGCAAATCTCAGAGCTGACAAACCAAAAGTATTATATAGAAGTCTGAGAAATAATCAATTCTTGGCCTTTTGCTTAAGATCAATTGTAGAAGCCTGAGAAACTGAGAATCTATTTCTGGTATATGAAATACACAGTGGAGTAGGAGGAGAGGTAGAAAGTGAGGCTGGACTAGATGATTCTAAGGCACTGTCCATCTCTCCCAGAGGACAATCTGGGGATTCCACAGCTCACAGTCACTCCACCGACTTGGAGAATAAGATACATCCAATTTCTAGCAGAGTTTCTTCCCTGAGATTTTGATAAGCTGCACGTATTAACATCACCTTCCCTACCTGGTGGTGTGACAGTTGAATATTCGGCATCTGTAAGTGTGAGAGATGAAGACATCTGCTGTGAGTGAATCACGTACTGGTTCATTTTCAATAGTTACTTTTACGCTGTCCTTTGAGAAGTATTCCCTTGAAAAGAGCAGAAGTGGGGCCCCACCTGGGAAGGGAGCAGGGGTTTACCTGAGCAGATCACGCTGGCGTCTTCCCCGTGAGCACAGTTGTGGGTAAACCAGCCGGTGTGGGAACATTCCTCAAGGTGCTGCTCATCTCCTCTGCAGTGCACGTTGTCAAGGAGGATCCTCCCAGAACCTTCCCCAAAGTGGGCCTCACCCGGGGCTGAAATGGCCCAGCCACATTCCAGCTGCCTGCAGACAATGTTTGCTTCTGGAAGGTCCCAGAGGTCGTCGCACACAGTCCCCCAGACTCCCTGGTAGAAAAGTTCCACACGACCCGCACATCTTCCGTGGCTGCCCACCAGCCGCACAGGGGCCCAGCCTCCTGGGGGAGAGCAAAGCAGTCACGGGGTGATAGTTACCCCTCTGCCTGTGGATGACTGGACTGTTGTCTACCCAGCCCAGCTCGCTGTCCTTATCTCCCATGACTTTGCTGCAAATATGGTTATGCTGCCATGAAGGATCCCACGCCATTCCCCAGACCTGTCTGCTCCAAGAAGCCTGTGTCTTCCTTATCCACACTCTATTTTAAGACAGTTTGCCTCAGGTAGATTGTTTACAAAAATGACCAAAGTTCTTCCCTTCTCTATGCTCTTTACAATGTGGCATTGCAGCCCCTCCTATGAAGACGGTGAACTTATTTTCCCACTTTTTAATTCTGGGCTTGTGGCCTTTAACTTGCTTTGGCCAATAGAATATGGCAAAGTAGTGGTACACCCTTGCAGAGTTGAGGCCTCAAGAGGCCTGACAGGCTTCAGCTCATTTCCTGGAAACTCTGATAGCATCATGCGAACAACCTTGAGTTAGCCTGCTGGAGGATGAAAGACACGTGGCCTTGTCAACGGTCACCTCAGTGACAGCTATGGAACAGCCGGACATGTGAGGGAGGCATCCGAGGCCAGATAGTCTTCAACTGATCTGCCAGCCAACCACAGATGCATGAACAAACCCAGCCCAAATCAGCTCAGCCTATCCTAGATGAGCAGAACTGCCCAGTTGACCCATGGACTTGTGAGCAGTTATAAATGGTTGTTGTAAGCCACTATGTTTTCGCGGTGGTTTTATATGCTGGTAGATAACTTATATGCTTCTTCTTTATCCACATTCCTTTGCTATATAACCTGCCCACCCAAAGCCAGGAGGAGGCATGGGCCAAAACCATGTTCCCCGTGTCTGGGTCTGCCTGGTCAGGTGACTGGACTGGAGCACAGCTGACTCCAGAGGAACCCATCCACATGCTGGATTGGGCCAGCCTCTCTCCACTGGATGTTTGAAATCGGGAAGAGAGATCTGGAAGATGCAGAGTCTGACACTTGCATTTGGGCAGCCACATGATGAATCATATATGGGTGGGTTAGTGAACGGAGAAGCTGCTCAGAATAATGACTCAAGAGAGGGGAAAAAAAAGAGGAATAAGGGAGATCCAGAGAGAATGGCTCCACTGCAGCTAATTCCTTCCTTATTTACATTCTCTTGACCCCTACATCCCTGCCCTAGTCTTCCTTCCATTAATCTTGCTTGAGTGGGGATTTGTACCATGAAACCAAATGCTCACCCAGTATTAAATGCCTCCCATTTCCCTGCCTTCCTTTATACCAACCACTTGGCCTAAAGTATGTGGTCTCCTATTCCACCTGCGAAAACCTTTTCATCCTTCAAATTCCACACCAAGTGGCTCCATTCCATGAAGCTCTTGTGATCCCCCAGACTAAGACCAATATTTTCCTTTCCCTTTGCTTTTTTCTGTGGTGCTTATGGGCCTGACCAGCGACACACACTTCTCATCTCCTTAGCAGAGGTATGAGAGGCAGGGACATAGAGTGGAAAGAGCAATGGATATCAGGGAGCAATGGCCAGGGAGGATGAGTCCAACAGCCCTGGCCAGCTGCATGGCCCTGAGGATGACAGACATTACTTCACATGCTGTTGTGAGGCTAAAGAATGTGAGAGTTTTCAGAGGGCTTCTCAGGGCCTCGTTCTTGGTTGGAAGGTGGGTGGGGTGCAGAGCTGGATCAGCTTAGGATGAGCTGGATATATGAAGGGACCACAATAGTGGGGGTATGGTCACAGTTGCCACAGAAGTTCATGCCGACAGCATTCATGTGGGAACACAGAACAGCATGGGCCATGATCTAAGGGTGCAGGAAGAGCAGGGCAGGGCCCCTCTCATATGGCACAGACCACTTTCTCCCTATGTTATAGGGAGACTTGTGTATAAGACTTGTCTCCCTACTAAACTACGAACAACTTGAGAACTGGGATTGCAACTGGCTCATCTATCTATCAACCCCAGTGCCGGGTTCAGTGCTCAGCACATGGTAGGCACACAAGATAAGAAGTTATTAAACAAACGAAGAAGAGAAATATTAGAGTGTGACTTCAGGCTGATTGAAATTCACAGAGCCAGCAGTGGTGCCTTAGTGACCACCATGCTTCCAAGGCCATGGCCGACGGCCAGGAGCTATAGCACCTAGCACCTGCAGGGCACTCTTCCACCAGGGATGCTCTCAGGCCCTGGGGCAGTGATCGTGGTTCCTCTTGGTCATCCCTGAATCTTTTGGCTGTACAGCTAGATTAAAGGATCAGTGGGCCCAATATTTTACCCCTGCCTTATCTGGCCTCAAACTGAACCTAACTTGCAAAAATCCAAGACCCAACTCAAAGCTGGCTATCATGAAATATCACTTGCCCCTGATCGCAGCAAAAATCCATCTTAGCAGGCCTCAACCATGCACTCTTCACTAACTCTGCATGGCTATTGTCCAGCCCTAGGCTCTAATCTAGAAAGCATATTAATGTCTCCCGCCTGTCAGTGCACAGAGGGTCTAACTATCTGACTTGTCCTCTGCATGACATAACCTCACTGATCCCTTACCCTTCATTTCTTAGCTTAGATATGGTTTCCTTAGCTTAGATATGGTTTCCTGCTCCCTCGGGTCTGGACGGGGACGTTCTTCTGGGTGCCCATGGCACCTATGCTTCCCCATCACAGCATTCACCACACCCTGTTATAAAGCCCATGTGAGGGTCTGCTCCATTCACTGCTCTACCTATCCCCAGGGACACATGTTCATTCACTCATTCATAGTCAAATGAATGAAGTTGTTCAGAAGGCATAATATAAAAAGACACAGCTCTACCTGGTGGTGCAGAAGATGGTGGGTGTTGAGCCACTGATACCACCGATGATGTGGGGAGCAGGTTCTCATGGGCTAGTGGTGGGCAAAAAGGAAGGACTGTTATCAGGGAACAGTCACAGCATGGGGAGAAGACACAGTTCCTTCAAGGGGGTGCCTGGCCCCTCCCAGGATTTAGCAGGAATAACAGTGAGAGTGCCTTCTGAGGTCCATGACCTCAGATCCCTGAGGTCTCCATTTAGAGCAGAACATGGCATTGCTACTGTGGACAAACTAATGTGCACCTGTGGCAATCAGCAAAAGTGAAGCTCATAGGTCGTTGGCCCCAGGTGGCTGGCTGTCTAGAGGCCATCCACTGGCTAGCACCTCCCTCTCTGTTGCCTCCTCCCCACATATGCCACTGTCATTATTTGGAATCTGCTCTGAAATGGCACGAGGAAGCCTCGCACGGCCTGGGAACTGTTCTTGACTGTGGCAGTAGTTACACAACTGGACACAATTACCACAATTCGCCAAACTGGACCTTAAAATGGGTAAATTTTATGGTATATAATCAAAGTTGAATAAAAAGTGAGATGGATCAATGTATGAATACAGGGATGCTAGATAAATTTATAGATTCATTATGGAATCTAGGTAGGAGTTCACTGTTAAATTCTTCAAACTTTGCTGTATATTTAAAAATTTCCCTAATAAAATGTTGTAGGGGAGGAAGTCTCCCTTAATTCCTATTACAAACTCTATGTCTCTGGTTTTTGGCAACAGTCTCTGGCTTTCCACAGTGGCACATGTATTATGTAGCTAGACCATGTAGCTGCTTACTCTCTCCTTGTTAGTCACAGAAAGCCAAAGGCATAGAATTTTAGGGAACATAGAATCCAATGAGCCTGTTCTAATGATGAGGAGACTGAAGGCCAAGGTCATTCATCCACTGAGAGGTCAGCCTGGATGAAATTCCTGCAGACCAGGCCCTTACCATCCCTCACACCTCCTTCCTTAGGTCCACATGTGCCCAAAACAAGCAGCCATTGCTGCATAAGCGCCGCTGGGTAACAGGTACCCTCAGGCATTGCCCTATTCATGCCCTTATTCAAAGCTCTTTATTGTCCCTACTTTCATGAAGAGGAAAATAGGATGAGAGATAACATAACCTGGCTGAGGTTATGTAACTGAGGGTGATTATATGTCACATGTATCTCTCCTGTGAGAGTATAAACCCCATTAAAAAAATAAACAGGGGGCCAGGTGCGGTGGTTCATGCCTGTAATTCCAGCACTTTGGCAGGCCAAGGTGGGCAGATCAGGAGGCCTGAGGTCAGGAGTTTGAGACCAGCCTGGCCAACATGGTGAAACCCCATCTCTACCAAAAACACAAAAATTTGCCAGGTGTGGTGGCAGGTGCCTGTAATCCCAGCTGTTTGGGAGGCTGAGGCAGGGAGAATCACTTGAACCCGAGAGAGAAAGGTTGCAGTAGCCAAGATAGCGCAACTGTACTCCAGCCTGGACAACAGAGCAGGACGCTATCAAAAAAAAAAAAAAAAAAAAAAAGAAAAAGAAAAAGAAAAAAAAAAGGAGAAGAAGGAGGAGGAGGAGAAGAAAAAGAAACAACAGGTGAGTTTTGACCACCACTGTATCCCCAGTGCTTGGCACAGAAGTTGGCACAGGGTAGATACCCAGCCAATATCTGTTGAATGAATGAATGAATGAAGGAAGGAAGCTGGGAATCAAATGAAGATCTGATTCTAAACCTCAAACTCTTTTTTACATCAGGACAAGTCTAGTATTTGACACTGAATGTGACATGCAGTCCTACCTGTAGGCAGAGCAGCTGTGGAATCAGCACCTGTCAACATAAAGAGGGATTGTGCATGTTATCTTGTCTTCATTGGCAAAGGTTTATTGGGAACTTCCTACATTTAGGGAGCTTCAGGCAACAGAAAGGAGAAAGAGGCAGAGACTTTGCTCCTGAGGATTTTGGCATTTCCTGGGGATTTGAGACAGGACATCAGTCAGCAACTGTTGACTGTCCCAGGATAGCCAGTGCTTCCTCAGGGGCCTCAGATGTTGAGGAAAGCCCCATGCCCCACAGAGGGGATGTGGCTCAGGATGAGCCAGATGCAACCTGCAGAGCTTGTCATTCATAGATGCATTATTCCAGCTGCAAGCAGGAGAGGGACAGATCGGTGTGGGAAGCTCAATAGGCTAGGAACATGGAGGTCCTGAACACCAGCTGATGGATTTGGCTTGTTACCTGGATGCCACAAGCTCAAAAGTTTCTGAGGATCATGCAGGTAAGCTAAATAGGGTGGTGGGGAGGTGTGTGCCGTGAAAACTGGAAAGGTATTCCATGTCCAAAGGAACAGCTCTTTCTCAGATCCAGCCAGCTAATGCAGTGAAAGGATGCATTGCTCTGTGCCTGAAATTCTGCTTTCATTTATTCATTTTTACAACATGTAAGAATTTGAATTTTTATGTCAAATATTTTGATTTTTAAATTCATGTTCAGCCTGATTTTCAAATTGAAAAGATTTACTTCTGAGCCTGGATGCAGCCTGTGAGCCATACTTAGAGATCATTGAAGTCAAGGAGATGGTCAGGCTTATGTAGAACTTTGAAAGTCTGTAGGCAACACCAGTTACCTGCCTGGCCCCACTATGTTCCTGGATTGAGCTGTGGGGTGTGGTTTGTGTGTGTATAGAGGAAAGAGGAGTGAAGGAGCTAGAAACAGCCCTCCAAATGAAGACTGACAGCCAGCCCCCCACCTGCACAGATGACGCTGGCATCCTCCAGGTGCCCACAGTTATGCCTGGCTCGGTCCCCGTGCATGCACTGCCCCAGGTGGCTCTCATTGCCCACACACTCCATGTCATCCAGCAGGACCTTCCCAGAGCCTGCCCTGAAGTGGGCCCCTACAGGGGCTGCCACGGCATGGCCACATTGCAGCTGGCAGCACACAATGGCGGCCTCGGCCAGGTCCCAGAAGTCGTCACACACCGTCCCCCACATGCCCTGAATGAGAACCTCCATGCAGCCTGAGCAGCTCCCTGTACCATTCAACAGCCTCACCTCCATCCAGGCTCCTGCAGAGACACAGCTGGTAACTGATGGTGGAATTTTAGAAGATGTTGGTGCCCTTGATGTAAAAAATCCTTGATTTTATCCGAGTAGCTGAGCTTCCTGTCTGTTTCCCTGAAATGGCAGCAGCTGCCCACCAGAGTGAAGTGCTGATGGGCAGAAATTCCCCTCTTTTCTCCTCCCATAAAGAATCAATTCAGCTTAGACGTGACTCTCTGGGCTCTGGAGTCAGACTGCCTACATTTGCATTCCAGGCCCATTGCCTTCTAACTGTGTGGTATGGTCCTGGGCAAGTTCCTCTACCTGCCTGATTTCTCCTCTGTAAACATGGTGATAGCAATAATGCTCATTTAGTAGAGTTTCTCTGAGGACTAAAAGGGGTAATGCATATAAAATGCCAACATAGCATAGCATGTGCATAATCAGTGTTTAATGAATATTGCCACTCTTGTTCTCTGGGACAAGTGAGAAAATGTGGTAGGAATTGACTTAGAGTCAGACCAATGATACCTGTGGAACAAGAAATCAAGACCTAAGGCTCAGGGGCCCTCCCTATGCTCATTCGTCCTTTAAGAGCTGAGGAATATGAGTGAAATAAGAGTGTCCAACAGATAATCAATGCAGCAAAATCAAATCCTAGATTACCTCTTTCCTCCCTATTCGGAGGAAGATACAGAGTAACCAATGAGCTGTGGGGTCTCCTGTGAGTGTGATGGGATGGATGCACCTCAAGCACCCTCACAAGGTACTTACAAGACCCCTGGCTGTAAATCCTTCCTTCAAGCATTGTCCTTCTCTTTGCTCCTGGAAGCTGTTGCTATCCCCAGGACCACAGGCTAAAATTCTGTCCATCCTACAGCTCTTCTCCCCTTGCCACCTCCATTGACCCTTCCTGGAATCCCCCAGTTGTAATCCTCTCCCTTCTACGTTCTGTACACCTTTCATGGCACTTCCCACCATCTACATTGATGGTGGTGGCCTAGTGTGTGTTTGACATCCTTACTGGATAATAGACACATTTGGGCAGGGACCAACAGATGGAGTAGGGAAGAGCATCAGTTTTAGAGTTGGAATAGGATAAGTTATGTAAGCTCCCTAAGCCTCAGGTGCCTAGCTTGTAAAAGGGGAATAATAACCAAGAGGAACAAATAAGATAATGCATGATATAAGCTTGACATATCATGGTTGTTTCATAAATGTTAGCTCCTTCACCCATTTTCCAAAGGACTTACCTGCTGGGGGCACGGGTGTGAATGGCAGGGTCACAGCCTCTGTTGTGGCTATGGTTGCAAATAATCCATCACCTGTCATAGGGACAAAGAGAGGCATCCCTAATAGTTAGAACATCCTCTAAACCCAACTTTAGAGAGATGAAGGTTTGAAAATAGACCCAGCCTAAAGGTCACAGTCAAATATGCAACATCAGCTCCTGACTTAGCTTCTCAGAGGCGAGAAGAATTTGCAGGAATATGATCAGCACTCAGGCTTTGTGGTGGGCACAGCTAATAACAGGGCTTGACCTGTGAGTATAAAACAAAGAGAGGCCTTGTTCATTGCTAGATACCTCCTAGCTACACATGGAAGGGAAAACTTCTGACAACAAGCCCAAAGAGTATGACTGGGCTCAAATGTGTCCAGTCAGTGTTTTGGTTGGCTCCCCAAGAGGCAGATTCAGGTAGGGAGGATCACCCACTCTCCCTTCTCTACCACATTCATCTATCACTAGTTAGAGCATAATGGGATGGAAAATACAGTACTTTTAGAACTTTCACCTAGTTAACACATTCTAACCCTTTAAACATCCATAAAATTTTCTGTCTATTCCTTTTAGGAACAAACCAGATATATTTAGTTAAATGATTAAAGCTTTTGGTTTATTTCTAGATGTTTGCTGAATTTACTTGAACTCTTAGTAGCTTAAACCATGGGAGGCTCACATAACAAAATAAGATAGCCTCCATTTATATTCTACTAACTCATAAAATATCATTTAATTACTGTGTTGTTTTATTAAAAATCTAAAATAATTATAATAAAATATTAATATTCGATAGAATCTACTAGTGAGTACTCAATTGTTCATTACACTATTCTTGACATTTTCATTGTTTTTAGTACATTTTATAATAAAATAATCTGACTTTGATTTCCGTGTCAGATGTAGTAACTGGTTGGGCGGTTAAATATTGACTTCCATAAGATGTGTATGTTTTACTCCCTGGAATCTGCAAATAAATTACATGATATGACAGAGAGACTTTGCAGATGTGATTAAGGATACAGATCACAAAATGGGAGATTATCTTGGATTTTCTGGGTGCATCCAATCGAATCACATGAGCTCTTAAAAGCAGATAATCTTTTCTGGCTGAAATCAGAGAGGTATGGCAGAAGAAGAGGCAGGAGACATTTAAAAAGCATGAGAATGACTTGACTCACTGATGCAAGCTTTAGGATGAAGGGGTCATGAGCTAGGCAATGTGAGTGACTTCTAAAATCTAAGAACAACTCCCATCCAGCAGTCAGCAGGGAATCAGGGACCTCAGTTGTACAACTATATGTAACTGAATTCTGCCAACAACCCCAGTGAGCCTGGAAATAGATTCTCCTTCAGATTTCTACTGGCATCTTGATTTTTCCTTTTAAGACTTGAAACAGAACAACTAAGCCCACTGGACTTATGACTTACAGAACTATAAAAATGACACATTGATGGTGCTTAGAGCTGCTAAATTTGTAGCAGTTTGTTATGGCAGCAATAGAAAACTACCATAATTGGGTGCAGATTTACTGTTCCACATGAAACAACTAAGAAATCAGACAAAATTCTGATCTTGGACAACAGGCAGCACAGGAGAGCAATCACTAAGAGAGAGTGAATGAACATGGGGAGTCCTATAATTACCCTAGATTATTAATTAGAGTTCCAGCGCATAACAGAGGGAAGTGGAACCCAGGTGGATCCTGGCAGACTTCTTCAAAAGATGGATCTGAAAATTCAGGGAAAACAAAGTGGCTAGAATTCACTGGGAAGTACTGGAGGTTGCCCACAAAGAGAGCTCCAGAGATTTTCGGAGAGTCTCTCTCAAGTTTTTATCTGAGTACTAATCAGCAGATGTATGTGGAGAAAATATCCATGACCAAGGTAAGAACTGCCTAAAAGGAGTAGAGGGAACAATCTCTGGTGATTGCACAGGCATGGGAATAGTTCCTTTTCCTACCAGCCAGAGTGAAACCAGGCAATCCATGAGGCATTGGGTATGGCAATCAGAAGGGTATTGCCCAGTAGTGGGGAAAATTAGCTCCATACTAAAGTTTGCTGTACTCCTGCCTAACAAAACTTAATCACAAGGCTTAAATGGACCAAACTGTTTCCAAGTAACTTGAGTGATTTAAAGTAAGATCGAGAATAAACAACAACTCATACTCAAAATGGTAAATGGCAACATTTGGTATCCAGTAGAAAATTGCCAAGGATGTAAACAAACTGAAAACTATGACCCATGATGGGAAGAATAAGTCAGTGGAAACAGAACAAGAAATGGTAAAAATATATAATTTTTACACTAGAGAATGAAAACAATAATTATATCATACAATCAAGAAGGTAGAGGAAAGATGGAACATGAAAAGTAGGGATATGGAAGATATAAAAAAGACCCAAATTAAACTTCTCAAGAAGAAAACAATAATGCCTGAGATGAAAAATACACTGGATATGATTAACAGCAGATTAGATACTGCAGAGAAAAAAGTAAGTGAACTTGAAGACATATCCAAAGCTAAATGCCATGGGAAAAAAACGACTAAAAAAAAATGAGCAGAGCACCAGGGAATTGTGAGACGACTTCAAGTAACCTAATGTATGTTTAATTGGAGTCCGTAAAGGAAAGGAGAAAAGATGGGAACAAAATATTTGAAGAGATAAACTTCTAAATTTGATTTTTAAAAACCTGTGACTCACAGATTCATGAAAGTCAATGACCTCTAGCCAGAAGAAACGTGAAGAAAACTATCCCAACATATGTTGTAACCAAATAGATTAGAATTCATGATAGATAGAATATCTTAAAAGCAGCCAGAAATGAAACACTGTATACAGAGAAAAAAGGTGATAATGACAATAGACTTCTTGACAAAAAGAATGAAATTCTGACAACAGTGAAATAACATCTTTAAAGCATTGAAACAAAAAGGTCAACCTGGATTTCTATACCCAGGAGAATTATCTTTAAAAAATGAAGATGACATAAAGATGCTTTCAGGCACAGAAAAGGTGAAATAATTTGTCACCAGTAGACCTGCACTACAGGATGTGTTAAAGGTAGTCTTTCAGGCAGAAGAAACAGGATGCCACATAGAAAAGATGTTTGTTATAAATCTTAAAGTAACCACTTAAAATAAAATTGTACCTAGCAGACAAAAAAAAGTAGACAAAATGGAACAATAAATTCCAAAAAAAAAAAAAAAAGAAGAAGAAGACAAAAACATGGTAAAAAAGAACAGGTGGAATGAATAGAAAACAATGAGCAAAACGGTAAATTTAAACAAATATCACAACGGTAGATTTAAACTTAACAGTGGTGATTTTTAAAATATACTCACAAATTATTTGATATTCCTTCCTTCAAGAGGTAGGGTTTGCTTTCCCTCCCTGTGTTTTGGATTGAACTTAATAACTCACTTTTGATCAATAGTATACAGCAAAAACAATGACATGTCACTTCTAAGATTGAATTATAAAAGACTGTGGTTTCTGTCTTGAGCTCTCTCTCTGTCTCTCTCTCATCACTTGCTATGGTGGAAGTCAACTTCTATTTTGTTCACAGTCCTATGGATAGGCCCATGTGGCAAGGAATTGAGAGAAGCCTACAGTTAGAAGCCATCAAGAAACTCAAGTCCTGAGTAAAAAAGCACATGAGGAAGAGAAGACACTAATAAACCATGTGAGTGAGCTTGGAAAAAAGTCCTATTCTTGACCGTATGCCTGATCGACTGCTTGACTATAACCTCATGAAAGACCCTGAGGCAGGACCACCCAGCTAAGCTAATAAGATACATGACCCACAGAAACTAACTAATAAATATCTGTCATTCTAAAATAAAAATTTGGGGTAATTTGTTATACAGCAATGGATAACTGGTAAGCTGTATCTGTCAGTCATCATATTAAATGTAAATGGTCTAAACACCTCAAATAAAAGGCAGAGATTTTCAAATAGGATTTTTAACAAGCAAAATCCAAGTATAGCCTACCTAAAAGAACTCCATTTTAAATTTAAAGATATGACTGGGTGCAGTGGCTCATGCCTGTAATCTCAGCACTTTGGGAGGCTGAAGAGGGTGGATCACTCGAGGCCAGGAGTTTGAGACAGCCTGGCCAACATGGCAAAACCCCATCTCTATTAAAAATACAAAAAATTAGCGAGGCATTGTGGTGTGCACCTGTAGTCCTAGCTACTCGGGAGGCTGAAGCAGGAGAACTGCTTGAACCCAGGAGGCAGAGGTTGCAGTGAGTTCACACTACTGCACTCCAGTCTGGGCAACAGAGCATGACTCCATCTCAATAAGTAAATAAATAAATTTAAAGACACAGATAGGTTAAAAGTAACACCATGCTCTATCAGGCTGTGCCATCTTGGCTTATGCAAGAGACACAAATCTTGAACCAACTTGATGGTGTGTATGATGGAGTGACAGCTCCAGGTTCTGTGACTGGAGTGGGACCTGGTGAATTGCCAGCACCTGATGATCAAAAGAAAAATCAACATCCTAACATTTACAGTGCTATTTATAATATAATACTTAGTAAAATCAATCATTGAGTATTATTTGAAGGAAAAACAAAGAAGTGACTTCTTGTTCAGAAAACTGCCCCTTACCTGTGCAGATGACACTGGCATCCTCCAGGTGCCCACAGTTGTGCCTGGCCTGGTCCCCATGCATGCACTGCCCCAGGTGGCTCTCACTGCCCACACACTGCATGTCATCCAGTAAGATCTTCCCAGAACCTGCCCCAAAGTGGGCTCCTGTGGGGGCTGCCAGAGCCTGGCCACACTGCAGCTGGCGGCACACGACGGTGGCCTCGGCCAGGTCCCAGAGATCATCACACACCGTGCCCCACGTGCCCTGGACGAGAACTTCCACGCGGCCTGAGCACCTCCCTGTGCCGTTCAGCAGCCTCACCTCCATCCAGGCTCCTGGGGAGGCACAAGAAGGGGGTGCACTGGGGAGTGGCCTTTGGTGTCAGGACATTGCCTTAGTCTTATCATGTTGGGCTGATATGTTGCTGATGTCATAATACTTATATCTTCCATAAATATTATTTTGTAGGAAGAATAATAGTAACAATAATAATCATAAATTCTACCACTCACATCTCATGGGTGATTACCAATAGCAGGTGCCATCCTAAGTACTTTATAAGCTTGATCTTATTTGACCATTACATCTCTCTTGTTGGGTCTATTATTAACTGTTTTTCACATGAAGAAAGTGAGACTCAGAAAGTCCAAGTTAACTTTCTCAGGGTCAAAGTGGCAATGTGAATTGGAACTGGGTAGATGGATTAGTATTCCATGTGGCTTTCTAAGGCCAGTGAACTTTGTTATATGCATTTTCCTCCCTGAAGTTACCCTTCTCCTTCCTTCTCTCAAGCTGAGCCCTGTGCCTCTTGCCTGGGTCAGTTTACATGCAGAGTAGAGAGCTGATATAGCCTGTAGGATGTTCTGGCTTTCGTTCAAAGACCTGAGATCAAGGAACAGAATAAGATCTGAGGGAGAGAAGTGCTTATTCTACCTTTATGTGTAACAAAAAGGGTATTTCCTTTGGGTTACGCAGATAGAAAGTTCTATGGGTCTTGGAAAATCTGGGCTGAAACTCCTCCCTGGAAGTGCCTCAAGGAGGCCAGAAGACCCTGGTGAGCAGTTGAATTAGACGTCTAGAGAGACAATGCCAGATCCCTGGGCTCCCAACTTACACATGTCACCTGAGCCCACACATGGCACAAGAACTCCAGAGGACCCCTGACCTGGGGAGTCCTCTCAGCCATGCCCCAGTGGACGCTGGCTAGTCTTTCTGTGGAAGTCGCCTTGGTATGGGGGAATGTCCCAGACTGGAAATTACAGAGTATTCTTTCTAGCACTAAAGACATTTCTTTTCTTTGCTGCCATCACAGTTGTACTTTAAATCACAGAATATTCACTTAATGCCTATCATGAGCAAGGCTCTATAATGAAGAGTTTACACCTTAAGGGCTTTAATCAGTGATAAGATGGAGGAAACAAAGGAGAAATAGTCTCAGATTATTTCTATGTCTAGTGAAAGTAATCGTTAAACTTCTAAAAAATCTGGAATTCTGGTGATTGTTTTACTTAGTAATTTATTGCCCTGATCATGATATTTATATTGACCTTCTGTGTTCTAGAATTTTCTAGAAACACTGGTGAGGCTTCTTTCTTAAGCCAATGGGAGAAGTAAAAAATAGAACCTACTACTCCATTAGATTTATTAAACAAAAAGTTTGAGAGTCTGTGACTCATTATGTTAACAGTGCTCTAGCTTACAAAATAGGAGTAGTAGTGCAATACAATACAATATAACATAACATCAGTAATCCAATGCAGAAATATTTTTCATATCTAACATATGGGTTGCTTTGAGAACAAGTTAGAAAATATATGTGAGGAAAAATGTAGTGGAAATATGAGTCGTTATGATAATCATAAGTAGATTATGCTCAGAAGAGAAGGTGAGGAAGATTTTCTGAGAGATTCTAGGTTAATCCCCCCTTTACAGGCTCCAATTCTTCTGAGTCGGCAGCCTCCATTTCATAAACAACCCACTCCTACTCACATTATTCAGTGTGACCATTACCTACTGTTTACAACTCAACCCTGCCAGGAACTATGCATAAAAAATGAACCTCTTTTCTCAACAAAGCTCCTGTGAGCAACCTGTGTCTGAAAATGGGGCCAGCTCACTGTGCAGCACTACTGACAACTGGGCAGACCGCCTATGGCTCAGCTCCAAGGAGGGCATAAGGTTAGGACAGCTCTCACCACAGTCCATCGGTTCTGCCCCCAAGGAGGCTATGAAATAAGTCAGAATCCACCCCATGCCCTGATTTGAAGCAGTCTCATGGTGGGCAAATGCATCGTGTTCTTCCTCTCGAAATGCCCTTGTGGTGCTGGAGTCCAGTGGGTCTGAACGTATTCATTACTTGGAAGAATGGAGAAGAGCAGGACAGACGCCTCTGTTGGATGTGGCAGGCACAGTGGGGTCCACGTGACTTTTAAGGGCCCCCCCCAAACATGCCTTCATTTGTTTTAAAATCAGAAGAAATGACTACAATATAGTCTTTATACCAACACAACCATAAAATAGAACATATACAAACATATCTGTGTGTATACAAATATACTTTTTTTGATGGAGGTAGGGGTCCCTGAAGGCAAAAGTTCCTAGGGGCCCAGAATGTCAAAAAGTGGCCCAAGTGGAGGCCTGAAATGGAGGAGAGACCTCTGCCTGCTGTGTAGTGTTTTTTGAGGAGGTAGCAGAATGACTGTAAGGCTAGCTTAGCGCATCTACACAGCCTTAAACTTCCACCATAGTATTTATTCAAAACACAGACGTGCACACACACCATTAGGCTTGGCCCAGTCAAACTGAGTTACTACTGATGTGAGTTACTGCAAAACCAGTCTTAACAGGTCAGAACGCTATAACGAGCTTTCTTTCTTTGTAAAGCAGATGTATAAGCCGTTCTACCCAGGTGAGAAAGAAAGAACTGGGATTTGGGTTCACACCTGATATACAATATCAGGTAAAATAAAAGGATAAATCTTGCCTAATTGTTACAATGGAAAATATAAATTAGGAATTTCACATTAAAAGCTATAGAGTAGGTGACAACTCGCAGCTGACTCCCTGATTTCCCAGTTATAGTCTTGATGTACCTGGGACATAGCAATTAGGCTTGCAAGCATATTCTCTTCCCCCATTAGCCCAAAGGTAGCTTTGGAGAATACTGTCCCACCACCAAAGGCAACTGGCTAAGCAGAGTCACATGGGCTTGGAGTCAGACATATTTGTGCCCAAATCTTGGCTCTACCACATTCTAGTTGGGTGACGCTAGGAAAATTTTCTGTGCTTCATTTTATGAAACAGTGAGGTGAGGTGGGGGGAAAAGATAGCACTTGTAGGTGGTTGTGAGCATAGACTAGTGACAGCATTTGATTCTCTGCTTATCACATTATGGTTGTTCCATAAATGTGAGCTCCTTCCCCCATTTTCCCAAGCACTTACCTGCCAGGGGCACGGGTGTGGATGGCAGGGCCACAGGCTCTGCTGTGGCTGTGGTTGCAGATAACCCAGCACCTGTTACAGGAACAAACAGAGGCAGCCCTAATAGTTAGGACATACCCTAAATCCAACTTTAGAACGCCAAAAGTTTGAAAACAGACATGGCCTGAAGGTCACAGTCAAACATGCAGCATCGATTCCTGACTCAGCTGCAACCTCCGCCTGCCGGGTTCAAGTAATTCCCCTGCCTCAGCCTCCCGAGGAGCTGGGATTACAGGCATGCAGCACGGCACCCAGCTAATTTTTGAATTTTTTAGAAGAGATGAGGTTTCACTATATTGGCCAGACCGGTCTCAATCTCCTGACCTCATGATCCACCCACCTCGGCCTCTCAAAGTGCTGGGATTACAGGAGTGAGCCACCGTGCCCGGGCTGCATTCTTTTAAAAGTATTGTCTTTCTTAAAACAATTTTTGAGGTATAATTGATAGATCAAAAAACTGTGCAAGTTTAATGTGTATAGCTTGAGTGTTTGGATACAAGCGCACACCTGTGATACTATCACTACAACCAAGGTAATAAACATATCCTTCACCTCCAAAAGTTTCCCTATGTCTCTTTCAGGTGTGTGGTAAGAACGCTTGACATGAAATCTACCCACAACAAATTTTGAAGTGCACAGTACTGTGCGTTAGCTTTGGCAGGATGTTACACAGCAGATCTCTAGAACTTACTCATGTTGCACAACTGAAAGCTTACACCCATAGAACGACAACTATCCATTTTCCTGAGTCTTTAAATGATCTAGTGTGTATTTAACAAACACAGCACATCTCAGTAACTACATGGATAGTGCAGGCTTCAGGACTTACTAAAGATGACTACTAGCATTGTCAGAATATGAATTATATGATGGTATAATTGAAATATCAGCAGTTATAGGTGATGGAGAAGTGGAGACAGAATCAACTAGCATGGTCAAATGAAAATGGATTGTAATGGTGGTCACTGAGATGTAATTTAGACGTCTCTAAGTTGGATACTTCCCAGACATAAGGCCAGGTGCTCTAGTTTATTTCTTAAAATCAAAAGATATGAGGAGAATCTTTAATAATCTTCTTCTCTAACACACGTTTCCCCCATCTCTTTTCTTCTTACTCTGCATTTGTGAAAGTATGTGAAACGAGAAGACTTGCGTGATCATGTTCTTTGATAGTAAAATTATAGGTGATCAAACACAAAGTGAAATTCAGACCATCTCAGGGTTCTCTTGTTCCTTTCCTCTCGAATCATTTGATCTCAAGTGATCTTTTAGCAGTACCTAGTGACGGTGCAGAACCACTGACTATCATTCATGCGACTTAGAATCTGCAATAAATTTACCATAGTGGCGGAGGTGGTAGTGTCCTACCTGGCGATGCTGAATGTGTAGCAGTTGTAGGAGAGAGCTGAGTTGAGATGGCAGCAGGTAGAACTGTAATAAAGAAGCACCTGTGAACAGTAAGTAACTTGAGGGAGGGGTGTTTGGCCAGGGGCTCCCTATGATTTCCCAAGACGTGGTTTTGCCTCAACTCTGAAGTGACCTCTGAGTAAGTGACAGTAATGCTAAATCACCTCTTAGCCGCCCTATCTTCAATCCCATTAGGCTCAATCATCCCCGGCCTGTCTCTCTCCTAGATTCAATGTTCAGGTGCGGGTATTTGGTGTTTTGTGATGAGGGTTTTGTGTTTTGGGTCTTAATATTCTTCCTAAGAGTTGGCCTGATGGTCTAGATCATGAAGACTGTCTGGTACTTTTATTCGCATGTTCTGCATGTTTTATTCCTAAGCCTGTTTTGTTCCTAACATTTCTGTTGCTGTTGTGTTAGCAAAAAACTTCTCTATGGCTCCACAGTCCCACATTCTCTCCTGCTCTACAGACCTAACTTCATGCCACATCTGGCCGTGGGAATTAGTTATAATGTCCTTAAGGAACATTGACAGAAGCAAATGCAGGAGATGGAGAACAGTTGCTTCTCTTTTTGGATTGACTTGGGTAGATGCTCCCCCTCTTCTGTCATACCCTTCTTGTCTCTGCTTGCTGTTTGGTAACCGTATTTCAATGTATGTTCTGAATAACGTGACCGTTTCTGCACCACTGAGCAGCAGTAACTACAAAATCTATTTCATAAACGAGTGCAGAAGGCTGAGTATTGGCCTCCCCAAGGATATCCACATTCTATCCCCGCAGCAAAGGGGTGAATTAAGATTGCTGGTGAAACTACAGTTGTTAATCAGTTGCCTTAACATTAGGAGATTATCCTGCATTATCAGGTGGGCCCAATGGCATCACAAGGGTACTTAAAAGTGGAAGTAGAAGGCAGAAGAGAGTCAGAGAGAGATGGGAAAATGCTAATCTCTCCACTGGCTTTAAAAATGGAGGCCTGGCCAGCAGCCAAGGAATGCAGGTCACGTCTAAAAACTGAAAGAGGCAGGAAATGGATCCTGTTTTTCCAGAGCTTCTAGAAGGAACACATCCTGCCTGACACTGCTCTTAGCTGAGACCCATTTTGGATTTCTGACCCCTAGAACTTCAAGATCATAAATTTGTGTTGTTTAAGCCACTAAGTTATGGCACTTTGTTAGAGCAGCGATGGGGAAATTATACAATAAGTAAACATTACATGCAATCAGATTATTATTCCTCCAAAAAAAAAAAAAGAAACATTTCCTTTATAAAAATTAAGAGAGTTTGGATACTCCCAGAGAAGCTGGCCAAACTGAAAAATTAAATAATTACAAAACCCTATGTTCCAAATGGTTTCCAGTATTTTAAAAATAGTATTGTTAGCTCTCTTTTTTAAAGAGGTTAGTGAATCTTTTGGAGTGATGTCCTGAAAATCATCTCCATCCAAGCTCAGTTATAAGGGGCAGATTATAATAAGTCACTGAGTAAAATAACTCAATAGCCACTCTTCCACATACTTCCCTCCTGTATTGGGTGGGAAAACAGAAAAGTCCCAGGGGAAAATAGCACAAACAAGTTATCTTACCTGATAATATGATTGCTGAATTTCCATCACCTATTGGTAAGAATAAATTGAAATCGTTCTTATTCTATTAAATTGAATAACTTTTACTTGACTTGACTTTATTAGTTTTCAACATACCTTTAATGTGACAGGTCTAAAATACAAAATGTAAAATATCATGAATTCCTGGTGAAATCAGCCCCTGGGACTTAACAGGCTCTCAGAAGTCCTGTATTTGCTGATTTGATTGCTTTTAACACAGCCTAGAAAGAAAAGCCTTAACATATAATACTGGCTCTTCAGAATGCCCACACACTGACAGCAAGCCAGTTACCAGTGGCGCTTTGGGCCACCTGCCTGTCCTGGGCAGTGGTTACCGACTGGAAGCAAAGTAAAGATGGCCATGGCATGTCCACACATGAGCTGTCTTCTCAGCTTGTGCCTCCTTCAGGGCCCAGGGACCATCATCTGGTTCCTCCTGGACCCTTTGCAGACATTTCTATTAATCTTATATATGTTATTATATATACTATTATTACATATTACATATTATAATATGCAATATACAATACTATATTTTAATATCATTTTATACTATAACATATTATAATTATATATTAGATTAGATTATTTTATTTTATTAACTATTGTATTATAATTTATACAATATAATTTAATATATAATAATTATATATGTATATGTTCTGCTACAAATTTCAAATGACAATAAAATACATATATCTGCATAGCAAGACCAGAAAAATAGAAATATAAGATTAACAAGCATATGAATGAAAGGAAAATCAATGGAAAAATTACCAACCAACTAAAAAAAAATCCTTGGCTATTGCTGGTATTAATCATTCAATTAAGCTTTGAATTTCCTGGAGTTTGAAGGCAGATGGAAATCATCATGTGTAATGGAATTCTCACTGCCTTCAAACTCCAGTGGTATCCTCCTAAAAAAAGTCATTGCCTTTGTTTATTGAGTATTTTAACACCTAATATAATGTTTCCAACAACAATTTACAAAAGTGGCAGAATGTTATATATATATATATTTTTTTTTTTTTTCACTCAAATATTTATTTAGAACCTATTATGTACCAGGAACTCTCCTTGGCTATGAGATAAACAAGATTGCCAAAGTTCCTTCTCTCACAAAACCCACACTATGGGGATGGTACAGGAGGACGCAGATGAGCAGGACAATGGAAGAAGAGTACAAAGACTATCTTGGGCTGGCCGCGGTGGTTCACGTCTATAATCCCAGCACTTTGGGAGGCTGAGGTGGGCGGATCACTTGAGGTCAGGAGTTCAAAGACCAGCCTGGCCAACATGGTGAAACCCCATCTGTACTAAAACTACAAAAAATTAGCCAGGTATGGTGGTGCACGCCTGTAATTCCAGCTATTCGAGAGGCTGAGGCAGGAGAATTGCTTGAACCTAACAGGTGGAAGTTGCAGTGAGCAGAGATGGTGCCACTGCACTCCAGTCTGGGTAACAGAGTGAGACTCCATTTAAGGGGGGAAAACAAAAGGCTATCTTGAATGGTGTGAATACATTAGAGCATAAGAGTGAGGTACAGGCAGGTACTTCCCTTCCCCAGCCACACTGAACCCCACATGACAGGAAAGAACATATGCTAAACGGTAATGAAAGAAACACAATTTAGCAAGCTTTTTCCTTAAAAATCTTGGTGATAAGAATCATGTTTTTAACAGCTATTCCACTGGAAAAATGAAAATAGCAATATTAGAGAATAACCAAAACCCTCATGATTGAAGTGAAAATAAAGCTAATTCTTGCAGAACAAAGAAAGCAGTCCAACGGCATTTTCAGCTTAATGGAAGGATTATCTTAATGGCCCAGGAATGCAGAAATGAAAAACAATGACTGTCGAAATATAGCAAACTGGTCCCTCCCACTATTTATTCCATTTGTCTCTTTATTATCTGCCCATTACCTGCCCAGGTAGCTTCTAGAATAAAAAATGTCAAGTCAGTAAAACAAAAGCATGAACTTACCTGATGCAGGCTTTAAGTACTCAGCCTCTGTTAACATACAGGAAAAGAAAAGATCTACCTTAGAAAAGGGTAGCTGCCTCTAGAGATGCTTTAAATCAAAATTAATTTTAAAATGAAGAAGAAATAAAGCATTGACCCTCCCTGCCTTAGTTCAGGTGACTTTAATTAACCATGAAATATATTAATTTTTTAGCATAGTGTGTCCAGTAACACATGTTCAATTCAATTGTGGCTCTACTGTGTCCACTGTGCAAACCCTATAACGCCTCCAAAGAGGAGAAAACACTAATTATACACACGAAACCGTTAGGTTGAATGCAGTAGCTTTATAGACTAGATTGCTTTGATGAAATTCTATGCCAAAACTCCAAATAATTTTTGAAAATAAAAGGGTTGGAAAAAAACCAAAAAACAAAAAATGAAAATGAGCTGTTTGAATGGACTTGAAAAGCTAGTTAATGATATTAATATCATTTAGATAAAGTATTTCTGGTTTAATACAATTAGAAATTTTGGCAAGTGACCGAGTTTACTGCTTGGTCAGACCTGCTAAATTATTTGCTTTTTCCCCACTGGCACACAAATTTATGCTGTTAGCACTGGTAGTATGCTAAATTAGCCACATGTTTGGTGGAAATTTGTTTGTATATCTAAACCAATGGTTCTCAGGGGCAATTTATTCCCCCAAAGGACACTTAGCAATAGTGTCAGGAGTAGGAGTGCTACTGTTATTAGTGGGTAGAGGTGAGGGATGCTGCAAAACAGCCTGCAATGCACAGGACAGTCCACCTACAACAGAGAGTGATCTAAACCCTGTCCTAGACTGATCATGACGATGACTCTTTGGATAAAGACTTGTAATTAGCAGTCATGGCCTGAGCTCCCAATCAAGACAAACTGCTGCTATTCTAATTTACAAACTCCTTGTTTTGTCACCTTCAGTTGACTGCAAATTTTTAGTGGGAAAAACCTTTGTCTCTTAGTTCACCACAGTGACCTGAAGAAAGAAAGAACACCCAGAAAGTGAGTCACATCACTGTTGACTCCTGTTTTCTTTCACCATTCATTTTGAAATCTAGGCTTTGTCATGGAACCACCAATATCTTCTACTATTTTTCTCTATGAAAAATCCAGTTCAACATCTTGTGGCTAATAAATTCCTGAGCTCAAGTTGAAGTTCTCAAATTACCACTGTGTCTTTACTTTTGGCTCACCCAAGTGGCAGAGATAGTCAATTACATAGGTGTAAGCACTGCCAGTGGGGTGAGTGGAGATGCAGTGAGGGGCACCTGTGGAGGGAGAGGTGGCCATTACCTGCACAGATGATGCTGGCGTCTTCTCTGGGGCCACAGTTATGCAGGCCCCAGCCAGCATGAGGACATTGTCCCAAAAAATTCTCTTTTCCAGTACAGTCCACATCATCCAGCAGAAATTCACCTCTGCCTTCACCAAATTGAGCCTCAGCGGGGGCTGCGAGGGCACGCCCGCAGTGCAGCTGCCGGCACACCACGTCAGCTTCATTCATGTCCCACTGGTCATCGCAAACCCTGCCCCACTGGCCATGGTAGAAAACTTCCACACGCCCAGAGCACCTGCCTGATCCATTCACCAGTTGCAATTGTGGCCAGTCTTTTGGGAAAAATACAAGATTACTGCATATTAGCAGAAGGCACATATTCTGTATTAACCTATTTGTTTCACCTTGCAATAAGCAGTTGTTGAGCACACACCAGGGCAGAATAGATAGCACTGTGGATACTGTGGTTAAACTAACAGATCCAACTCTGGCTGTCACAGAGTTTGGAGTCTAGTTTGCAAGTCTGGAGGACGCAGTCATGTTAATCTAAAATTACATGGAGATTCGCAACTATGCTAAGTGCTAGAAAGCAGTATAATCTCATGATGTTTTGAGAGTATATAATGGAGTAGGGTGGGATTTGGAGATGTCTTTCCTAAGAGATGACAATGGATCTCAGGCTTGAAAGAGGAGTAGGAAGAAGTTACATAGACAAAGAAGGATGGGGAGAAGGACAGAGCCTTCCTCTGTGAATTAACAAAAAACAAAAAACCTGTAGAGATTTATGAGTGAAGTGAAAGTATTGGGATCCTCAGATAAAACCATTCTGTTTGGTAGTGTTTGTAGGGTTGGAGATATAACCATCCCTTTAGCAGCAAATAACCCTCCAAGCTGTATCAGCCAGGAAGTTAGAAAATCTTAACTTACCACCAGGAAATGGCATTAGGATCTCAGCATCTAAGAGCAGAGAGAAATAAGGTATCATTGTCATGCAAAATAGTTTACCCAAGTTTACTGGGCAAGCATCAGCATGTATGTGATGGCCTCCTGGAGCAGATGTTGAGCTAATGGCATGCTTTGAGAAATATATCCAGTAGGTTTTGATCAGTGGCAAGTGAGAAATTTATCATGCATCTAAGTCATGTACAGATCGATCTTTTAAATTGGATTATTTGTGCAAATGCATCTTCTGCCAGAAAGACAAAATGCTTATGGAATTGTATTCCTAAGACACTCATAAAGGAGAATGCTGAAGGACTCAGGTTAACAATAAAGGCTGTGCTTTTCTCATTAATCTCTGAATTTTCTAAACAGAGATGCAAAGGGACTCTGTTCTGAGGCCATAGTCACTGCCTTTCCAGCCTTAGAGGCATTATTTGGGTGTCCAAAGTTTGGATTTTCTTTAGTCTGAGTTTAGTAACATTTTTGCATGATAATTTACTAAACCATATTCATATCATCACTCCATGATTTTCTAAAATACATTTAGACAACAGTTCGGGGAGCAAAGATTTCCTCATGGTTAAAGGCAAGGAAGATACCTGTTTTTTCTCTTTGCTTGTTGAGTCCTTTTGATTAAATTCAGTTTTTTTTTCTGCCACTCCCCAACCTCTTGCAATGCATTATGTTGGTAAATACAATCAAAGGATTAGGGGCCTTGGTGGCTGTTCTGTTAAAGACATAGTAAAGTGTGATTCTTACCAAAAGTTTGCAGGTGTTCGTTTTCATGCTCTATGAGAAAAAAAAGACAGTTAAATGTAAACTGAGTCTATTGGAGATGATAAAATTTCTGGAGTGCCTGTACTTGCTAGAAGGATCTGCTGTTGCCCCATTACTAAGACTCCAGTGAAAAACTTCAGCCTAGAATTTGCCTTATGTATGATTACTTCAAAAAGGTTTAGGGCATATCTGGGAAGGAAAGACCTTTTGACTCTTCAATATTCATGGAAATGCAAACATTTTAGTGCAAACTCCACTCAGGAAGAGCCCACTATGTGCAACTAGGGTTGGGTTTCTAAGTTTCTTACCACGAGATGGGATAGAAGACCCCACAGGATAAATAGGCGTGTCTTCCTAAGGGACCGAGGGTACCTAATGTTTTTGAGTATTTACAACTTTGTTTTTGTATTAAAATAAATGTGGCTTAATTGTAACTTGTAAGTGAAACTGGGTGACTTTTTAAAGTAAGTAAAGGATTTCAAAGAGAGTCTGCTTAAGGCATGGAAACCTGGGCCATGCTGTTTGGGGGTATTTGAAAAACAGCAGAACTGACTAATCCATTCACATCCAGTCCTCTCACTCGTGTGGTCAATTACTTATTTCCCCAATTAACATTCATCGACTTTCTCTCAACATCACTGGAGGCAGAGGGGAAGAGCACTTAAGGAAATGGAACTGGGGAAAGTGTGATCCCCAAGGATGGAAGAAGGTGGGTCCCAGCTCCTGTTTAAGTAAATTAGGGCAGTTCAGCACAGGGGTTCCTTGCACCTGGGGAGCTTGGCAGGATTTGGGGGACGTGAGCGTGTTGGGGAGGCCTGATGTAGGTGAAGAGGGTGAGGCTACTGGCAGAGCATCGAAGACGGAACTCTGAAATTTTGAAAATTTTTGCCTAGGTGCAGGGCAATTTTTCCAGAGTGTAGACATTTTGGTGCGGGAGACAGAGCACTGGATGTGGATTCCAGAGACCTAAATATTTGCTGTGCGAGTTTGGTCAAGGCATTTAACTTTGACTTTGCTTAACCTTGTCTCTGAATCCCAGTTTCCCTATTTGCAACACAAGGCTCATAAAACAAGCCCCCTCTGAATTGCCATAAGGGTGGAACAGGATAATGAACAGGAGGTGCTCGGGAAACAGGAAGGAGCTCAGTGACTGACATCAGGGTTGTGCTTTGAGATAGCCTCTTAGACAAGACCACTCGGAGACCTGTCATGCTTGGAGCACATGACCTGTGAAGGCTACAATAATGACTCAGTGAATCTGCCCAAGATTCACTTGGTATGAGATTATCCACCTCAAAAATGACAGGATACATTTAATTAACTGTAATCAGTAGAGGAGACAGTCAGAGGAAATGACTGGAAAAGAAATTAGACTAAGGCTAATACTTGGGGAAGAAACTATAGTTAACTTTGCTTTCATTATTGATGCAGCTATTAATCAATGATCAGCTAATTAATAAATAGTTACTACAATCAGTAAATTCAACTGCACATGCTTGATTCTGAAGCAGAATCAAGATTTCTTCACCTCACACTATTGACATTTGGGCTGGAAAGTTGTGTGGTGGGAGCTGTCCTGTGCATTGCAGGAAATTTCGCAGCATCTCTGGCTTTTGCCCATACAGGCTAGTAGCACCCAAGCTGTAACAATCAAGAATGTCTCCAGACATTGCCAAATGTCCCCTGGAGGGCAAAATTGTGGAGAGTGTTTTTAAATTGCCTGAGGCAAGATTTATACTTAAAATACTTTGCTACCTAGATTGTTCTCAGCCCCTGTCTCCCACCTTCCCTCCCAAGGGGCCTGGTGCAGGACTTGATGCCTAAGAGAGTGGCAGTCCTCTTTCTGCCCACCCAGGCTGCCTGGAGCACCCCCATGAGGCAAAGGTAAATTCCACACAGGCCTGCTAAGGACTCACAGGAAGGGCTTTGGACAGTGTCCCGCTTGATTCAATAACAAGGCAGGACCTAGGGGTCCAGGAGGTGGGAGGGCCTGGGGCCACCTTTGCCCTGCAGGCTGGTGAGAGGCCTTGGGAATGATAGTTTAATGGACCGGAGTTCTCCTCCAACCCCTTAACTGCTGTCCAGACGAAGCTGCCTGCAGTGGGAAAGGTCCCAGCCACAACAGGCCCTTGTCTTTGCAGTCAGCAGGAGAGGTGAGGCGCCTGCTAGCTGGCAGTCACATGTAAGTCCATCCCATGGAATGGGGACGTTGTGTTCACTGCTGCATCTCTACAGGCTCTGGCAGTAAATATTGTTGAATGCTTAGCTCCTGGCCACTTGGTAATGGACCTAATCCTACTTCCTAGCATGTTGGGTTTGGGAGGAATTGGCAGGGGATTGGGGGAGAGAAAGACGCCCCCTCTGACCTCACAGTTGTCTGCAGCTGAGCAGCAAGGAGGAGCCTTTCTGTTCCTCCTCCGCCTCCTGCTTCTACACCTTGCCCCATCACCCAAAGTCGGTTTATCAGAGACACAGCTGCTCACTTTCTAGAGGGTTGATTTCCTCAAAAAGAAGTATCAACACAGCCTTGTGGGCAGCCTGCTTTTCAGGCTGTGGAATGACAAGACAGTGAATCAGAACTGACAGACGCCTCGTCCTCACAGCAGTACAGCAATAGGCATTATCATGATTGTCATGACGACCATTCTCAACTTGTTAGGTAAGAGGAAAATGATGTGCAAAATGCCACATTAAGCTCAAGGGGGCATGAGGTTTGGGGAAGGGGGAATCATAGAGGAATTTTCATCGGGGTGAGACTCAACCAGGTCCCATGGGCCCTGCCCTTCCATTGATGCTCTGCTGTCTCTGTCTTGAAATTCTTAACACTTTTTGAAAGGGGGGCCCACATTTTTGTTTTGTATCAGGATCCACAAATCATGTAACTTTCCTGCAGCTGGACTAAGGCTTTTCATTTCAAATCTAGCATTCTTCCCAATATGATTATCTTTGGCTTCTGAAATAGACACAGAGGACTGGGGTTAGGGTTAGAGTGTTCAGTTGCTTTAGAAATATCACAGAGGAGTCGGCTTTAGAGTGAGTGTCTTTCTTGGGAAGAGTGGTTGAGGGCCTGGGTGGACAGGGGTTTCATACTAATGAAATCGTACATTACAAAGGCATTCTCTCATGTTGGGGAAAAACCATGAGCCTCAGAGATTGATCAGAAAAAAATGAAAAATCAACTTTCAGAAAAGATAGAAATTTACCTGAGCAGATGACACCAGCGTCTTCCCTGTGCCCACAGTTGTGGGTAGACCAGCCGGTATGGGAGCACTCCCCCAGGTAGGCCTCAGTCCCAGAACACTGCATGTCGTCCAGAAGAATGGGGCCGGAGCCCTGGCCAAAGTGGGCCTCTCCAGGGGCAGAGACGGCTGCCCCGCAGCCCAGCTGCTGGCACACCACCTGCGCTTCCTTCTCGTCCCACAGGTCATCGCACACTGTGCCCCACACGCCTTCAAAATACACCTCGACTCATCCTGAACTCCTTCCAGAACCTTCCACGAGTTGCACAGCAAGCCAGTCTTTGGAAGAAAGGCAGTCCCCCAACCTCCACTTAAGTGTTGGTGAAGGGAGTCATCTTTCCCACCACCTCCTCATGGTCACAGTAACAACTGCTATTTACTGAGCACCATCTGTCCTCCTGGCACTGGGCTCAGCCCTGTAGAGCTGACATCTTTTTAAGGCTCACGACTCCCTTGTAGGGTGTTATTGTCCCCATGTTACCAGGGAGGAGATAGGATACTGACAATGGCAGCAGCTTCCTGAAGGTCATGTTGTTAGTGAGGGGGCAGAAGGGGAACACTGTCGGATCTCCTAGGGCCCTCCTGTTCTGGGTGGGGTCATCCATGGGACCATGTTAGTTTTGCCCTGTGATGAGATGTCAGGCTTTGCTTTTCTTTTCTTAGAAGTGCCCACCCTGGCAAGAATACCTGCATCTAAGAAGAAAGAAGCTCTCAGGCTCTGGGCTTCTTGATATTTTAGCTTAGAAAGTCTCTCTTGGATTCTTGGATAATTTTCACCATGTCATTGTCAGTGTTGAGTGTTGAGTGTGGATGAA